GGAGGTACCTCGACAATCCAGACTACCCACCCCGAATATGGGGACCCAGGTCATCGCCTGCATAATCAGGGGCACACACTGCAACCAAGACTCAGTCTTGGGGAGTGCTATCCGATCCTTCCCTGTATTTGAGCTCACAGATGCCTGAGGCTGCGAGGGGGTGGAGCTGGGCTCTCAGCCCTAACTCACAGCTGGAGGAACATCTGCCCAGCGTGGAGCCGCTTACAAAGAGCTTTCACATAAATGATCTCATTTCATCTCCCACATCCCAAACCTGGCAGGGAGGGAATCTTGTCCCCATTATGCAGACAAGGACACCGAGGCTCAGAGACTCAGCTGCTCTGGGCTGGAGCACATATACCCTATTTTGTGCAGAAGTCTCACAACCTGAGAAAGCAGGTTCCACAGTTTGGATAAGTGTCCTCTACCAGTCTGTGATGCTACTGGGACCTTTAGGAAGTGGAGCCCAGTGGGAGGAAGATAGGCCACTGCCAGTGGGTCCTCAAAGGGGATATGTGGATGCAGCCTCCTCCTCTCAGAGTGTTTTCTGGCTGCCACGAGTGAAGTAGTTTTCTCCAGGCACCCATTCAGTCCATCTCCACATCCAGCCCATGTGTGTGTCAGTGCCTGTTTTTAGTGAGTTTTAAATATATGTGTAAACAACCCTGTTATTATGTAAAATTCATCTTTGTGCACACTGTAGATTCTGGGGACTTTAGTATACTTAGTGTTATGCAGCCATTACCACTGTCTAATTCTAGAACATTTTCACCCTGCCTGAAAAGCCCCATTCCCATTAGCGCCTATCCTTCCCCATTCTCTGGCAACCATTAATCTCCTTTCTGTCACCATGGATTTGTCTACTCCAGACACACCATATGCATGGAATCATACAGTATCTGCTTTTTAGTGTCTGGCTTCTTTCGCTTTTCACATTTTTAGGGTTCATCCAGGCATGTGTCAGTAGTTTATTTCTTTCCATGGCTGAAAAATATTCCATTTCTGCTTATGCATTCATCAATGGATCCTTGGGTTGTTTAACTTTGGCTACTAGGTATAATACTTCCAGGGATATTTATGTAAAAGTTTTTGTGTAAACTAATGTTTTCCCTTGAGTCCATACCTAGGAGAGGACTTGTAAGGTCATGTGGTCACTCACTTTCACACCACTCCCACAGGGCCACATCATTTGAGAGCCCCACCATCCCCAAAGGAGGGTTTTGGTTTCTCCCCATCACCAACACTTGTTATTGTTTATCTTTTCCTTAGCTGTTCTAGTGGATGTGGAAGTCAGTCTCAACATGATTCTGTATGGTTCTTAGCAGGTACCAAGTGTAGGGTTTGGCTTGTGGGGAATAAGGTGACAAATAAGCCACTATCTTTGCCATCAAAAGAATCACAGTTCAGACTGGGGAGAGACAGACAGTCTTCAATTGCCCATTGATTAGTGTCAGGCAATGAATGGACATCGTCAGAGACCCTGAAAAGGTAAGATATGACTTCTACCTAAGAGTCTCTTAATGAAGAATATAAGACCACATAAATAACCCACCTAGCCATCTATAAACTTCCACCCTCCTATCTGTCCATCCACCTACTTATACATACACCTAACAATAAACATTCATGTGCTAGTGAATCAAGACATCTTGTATCTGCTAACCCTCCCAGTCATCTTCCACCTGTTACCAGCCGTCGTCTCTCACATCCATCTATTCATCCAGCCAACCATCAATCTATGAAATTACACATCCATCAATCTACCAATCATTTAGCCCACCAGATCAGCTACCCAGCCACCCAGCCACCCAGCCACCGGTCCACCCAGTCATTCTTCCATCCATCCATTCACCCATCATCCATCCATTGGTCTATCAATCAGTCAAACCACTGGTTCCCTTGCCCTAGACACCAGCGCAAGGACCCAGCTTAGCTACAACAGGCTGAGCAGTTTGAGGTCACCAAGATGAATGCTCTGGGACTCTGCTCACTGCATACCACACAGGAGAGATCTCTAAGCCATGCTCTCTCCTCCCATCCGCACACAGCTTTTACTCCCAGATTGAGAACTTTTACTCACTGTCCTCTAACCAGTTAAAATACCAACTGCTTTGGATTTTACTTAGTAACACATATTTCTCACCTTCCTAGAGGCAGATACTAGGTCAACCCCCATTTTTCAGATAAAGCCACTGAGGCTCAGAGGGATGAAATTCATTACTTGGGTCACACAAAAGTGGCTGGGAAACCCAGCTCTGCAGGCCCTTTCTTTTTTGTAAATTTTGTCTTCTTCCTTTTTATTGGTACTCGAGACCAAATTCACAACTGCACACTTGCAAGGCTTATGCCACTGAGCTAAACTCCCAGCCCCACTGCAGGCCCTTTCTATAACTTTGTAGAAAACAGGTGAACTTTGTGTGTGAAGAGTGTTTGCAGGATGCTGCTGGCTGGGACCCCAGTGCAGGCCTGGTCTCCAGATGCAAAGACTAAAGGAAGCTGAACGCTAAGTCATCGTGAGTGATCGCAATGAGCCCTTCCCACCCTTGACCCTTGACGGCCTGGCCAGCATCCATTCACCTTCCTGTCCCAGCCTGTCCTCAGATCTCAGGGCTGTGTTCAGGCTGTTCCTTCTCCCTGCATGACCAGCCCTGTCACTTTCCTCAGCCACTCCCATCACACTCACAGATCTGGTCACAGCAAGGGGTCCTGTAGGCAGCCTGGAGACCATTCCCTCACTTCCCATCTACTATAATTCTGCTTTGCTGACTGCATTGTTCCTGCCAAGTGGGAGGTTCCAGGAGGAGGACTGGCTCCCAGTAGCTGGGAAGGCACAGAGCAGGGCTGGACAATGACTAAAAATCTAGCCCCTCCAAAATTATCCCTGGCCTCCCACCAGCCATACTCTCCACCGAGGCTGCTAACCCCTCCCTCCTGAGGGCCTTCACTCACCAAGTCTGCTCAAGTTTAAGACTCACCCCGCTTAAGGCCCAGGTTAGACACGGAAGGACAATGTCCAGCAGTGGTGGTGAACCTATAGCACGTTGTGCCGCAGCGGGCTGGCATCACTGAAAGCTCTAAAAGGTTCACCATCACTGGTGAGGTGTTGCCCCCTCTGCTCACCCCCTCCACCTTGTGCCTGGGTTGGTGCCTGCTAAGAACATGGTGACTGCCCGGTAGCCTTTTCTGAATTAAATGTGCCTGAGAACAGCATCCTTTGGGAGGCAGGGTCTCTCATGTGGCCCTGGGGCTGGCTGCCAGCCCACCTCAGATGTTGGCTGAGGGAATGTATGAATGGGTGGCCACGAGGGGCTGAGAGCAGCAGAGCCACCAGCTCAGGTGGCAGACATGTGGTAGGATCTGGTTTCCTGGGACAAAGGCCAGCACAGGGGGCAAGTGAATAAATCATGAGAGGCCCTGAGCGGGGCCAAGGAGGACAACTGACCTCATTCTGGAAGTCGAGGAGAGGCAGCTGGGTGGTGAGTGGGCTGGGGACATGATGAGGGGGCATGGGAGGCCAGCGGGGGCTGCCTGGCCACCTCCACCCTTTTTACCTTGAGAAGCAAGAGGTTGCAGGTCAGCAGGACCAGGTGGGGGTCACTGGAAGGAGGCAGGGAGGTGGGGAGCACGGAGGTACCCTAGGGCTCTGGGTGGGGTAGGAAGGGAGTGACCTGACTTTTCAGAATCTGGGGGTCATCCGTTGGAGGGAATGTGGGGAGAGCAGAAAGAGCAAGGATATAAAAACAGAATAAGGTGAGGATAAGGTAGACAGAGATATCGGGAGAGATGAGAGGGATGGAGCGGGAGTCAGCCGCACTGTGGGAGGTCAGGCTGGGGACTCAGCCAGAGCGATGAGGCAGGCCTGGGGCAGAAGGAGGTGACAGCCAGCAGGAGCCCCAAGGTGAAAGCTAAAAGGCCACAGGAAGGGGAGAATTTCAGGGAGGCTGGTAGGTTAACAGGGCTGTGAGGGACAGTGGGGGAAATAGGACATTTCAGGGACAGTGTTCTGGTCAGCCACTAAGGACGGACCCTGGGGACACACAGCTACAGCTGCCCACTGAGTCACTTGCCCACAGGACGAGGATACAAAGCAGGGCTGGAAGGAGGTGCCAAGTCCTCGTGTCCATGGCCCTGCCACAGGGCCCAGCAGACAGCAGCATCCCCTTGGGGGACCCCAGCCGCTCTGCAGGGGTGCCAGGCCCCAGCCAGACCCCCACCAGCCCAGCAGCCAGCCGGCGGGCCCTTCTCAAAGAGCTCGAAGCTCAGGTGCAGGCAGCCTATGGGCAGGTAAGGGGGAGGGAAGGGACTGTGAGGGCAACACAGGGTCCCCTGTAGGGCGGATCAGGGCCAAGCGCATGAGGGGATGCAGCACACACACACACACACACACACACACACACACACACACGGGTGGAAGGGTCAGTCTGTGGGTCAGCAGAGGCCAGGGTGAGCTCTTTTCCCAGCTCAGTGCTTACTGAGCTGCCACCTACAGTACCCAGCAGCAGCCTCCTTCAGCTCCTGGTGCAAGGTGGGGAGGCTGATCCAGACCAGGGTGCCAAGGCAAGTGGGTTGGGTGCACTTTGGAAAGGGATCAGGGATCTCGATGGGGCTGCTCGCTTAGGCCAAGGGGAAGGGTCTGCTGTGGTCATGGCCCCTGGGCTCACTGCTCTTCTGCAGGGACAGAGGCCCAACCACTCTACCCCACTCCCAAGTTTTTGCCTCCTCCTTCCAAGCCCTGGCCTGCTGCTAAAGATACAAAATCTCCCCTGATTGAGAGATTAGGGGTGGGCATAAACAGAGAAGGGTACAGCAGAAAAGACCCTCAGGAGAAATCATGGGGACACTTTGCCTTCCAGGGGGCCTTGGGTCCCAAGTGGCCCCCCTTACCAGTGGAGATGCTCAGAGATAATCCCTGATTAGGACCCATTGGCCGCTGGGCCCAGGGCCCCCCGCCTGCCCACCCGCCCCCATCTTCCCCACAAAACCCTAGGAAAATCCCCAGCAGTGCTCCAGGCTCTCACTGGGAGCTGCTGGGGCCCGGCAGCATCCGCTGCACCAGGACTCCAGCCTGGCATGGTTCGGGGGCTCATGGGGAACTGTGCCAAGCGGCCCCGGCACCGGGGTCCCAAGGTAGGAGGGCAAAGGGACACCAGCCAAGGCCAGGAAATTGGGTGAGCAGGGTCCTGCTAGGGCTGGCTGGGATTGGAGATGGGCATGGTCTCTGGATAGAGGGGTTAGTTGCTCATTGTCCTCAAGTGAGACTTTTTTCGGGGATACCCCAGACTCAGACCCAGCCTAGTCCTGGCTCACACAGTTGGCTGGTCTGCCCCTGCTAAGCTGACCCCTGCTGTCCATCCCCCTGGGCCCTGCTCTCTACCAGCCAGTCTTGGCTAGGGCAGCATAGAACCGAAAGCCAGGTCTCTCTCTACTACTAATTTTGTCTGCCTCATCTTTTCTGTGCCTCAGTTTGCCCAACTGAGCAGTTAGGGGTACACCCTTCCAGTCTACAGTATTAATGGGTGAGGGTCCTGTGCACCCCAAATCCCTTCCTCATGGCCCCATGCTGGGTTCCAAAGAGCAGAATGGCTGGCTGGGGAGGGTGCAGGGAGGGGCTTCAGGCCATTACCCAGCTCATGACCGGCTCTGCCACAGGACCCCTGGCAATGGCCCAATTCCCCCAGAGGGGGCTCCTGCTACAGTGCCGGTGCCCGCCCCGAGGAGCAGGGGGGCGTCCAGGGTTACTCGGTGCTTGGTGGCCTGGTGGGCCCGGCCTGCATCTTCCTTCGGCCCAGCATTGCCGCCACCCAGCTCGTATGTACGGCCACCCACTCTGCAGCCCACAGCCTTTGCCCCTTGACTTTGCCACTCCTTGAACAAAAGGAAGAGGATGGAGAGGGCCCTCAGAGCAGGTGCACACCAGTCCAGTGGTGGGGGCAAAGGAGACAGAGAGTGATGACTTGAGGGACAGAGGGAGAGCGCCGGAGACTTACAGGACATGGAGGCCACATCTGAGGTTCTGCCAGACCCACAGATCCAATTTTCCCAGAGGAGGGAGCAGGGGGCAGGGAGGGCCTGAGAGTATCCTAGGCCAGTGGCAGGGAAGGGGGCACCCAAGAGGCCCTGACCAGCGAGCAAGCAGACCTGGGCCCCGTGTGAATGGTGCAGTGGGGCCTGGGTGCTCCAGGGAACTCCTAACCCATCTCTGTCCCCTAGGATCGGGACCTGCGGCCTGAGGAGATTGAAGGTAAAGGGTTTGAGAAGGGCCTGATTCCCAGTAGGGGGCATAGGGTGGAAGCTACAGAATGGAGGGATCCGAGGGGCTTCAGCAATCTGCAGGAGGAAGCAGGAATTGCTGTTAAGACGGAGATTCATGGGTGACAAGACCAGAGGAGGAAGGACAGACTGATGCAGGTGGGGATCCAGGGGGATGTGGGAGGACTGATCCCTCTCTGCCCGGCAGAGCTGCAGGTCGCCTTCCAGGAATTTGATCGAGACCGGGATGGCTACATCGGCTATCGGGAGCTGGGTGCATGCATGCGGACCCTGGGCTACATGCCCACAGAGATGGAGCTCATCGAGATCTCCCAGCAAATCAGTATGTGTCTCAGAACTGCCCCATGCTAGCTCTGCACACGTCCTGGCCAGGTCCAAACAAGCTGATGACTGGGGCTCAGAGGCCAGAGGTGACTGAGGAACTCATCCCCACATCTCAGGGCCCAGAGCCTAGGACATTCCCTCAGATCTCACCATCTTCTGTGAGAGGCAGGGCGAGGGCCATGTCAGCCCCTTCACAGATGAGGAAAGTGGGTCTCTGTGCAGCAGAGTAACTGGTCTAAGGTCACACAGCATTGGAGCCAAGACTTGATCACAGCCAAACTCTGTAGGAAAATCAAGAGAAGCCCCAGAGAGCTTTAAGAGTGGCTTTCCCGTGACCAAATCCATGCCTTGGTTGGAAGGTGATTCCCAGCAGGAAAAGGGGGTAAGGGCCCAAGTATTAATGAGGCAAGGGGGGACTTCAGGGTAGAAGTGGGAAGCCTTGTGCAGAGGAGAGAGAGCCAGGGGTCTCTAGCAAATGGAAATGACTCCCAGGTGGTGGGAAGGTGGACTTTGAAGACTTCGTGGAGCTGATGGGCCCCAAGCTGCTGGCGGAAACAGCAGACATGATCGGCGTCAGGGAGCTTCGAGATGCCTTTCGGGAGGTGCACAGGGACCCCAGCTGGGCGGGTGGGCTGCAGCTCCTCAGGGAGAAAGGGGCTGAGCGGAGGCTGACTCAGTCAGTGACCCCAAGCCACAACCAACACCACCACAGTTTGACACCAACAGGGACGGCTGCATCAGCATCGGGGAGCTCAGAGCCGCCCTCAAGGCCCTGCTGGGGGAGCGTCTCAGCCAGCGGGAGGTGGATGAGATTCTGCAGGACATCGACCTCAACGGAGACGGCCTGGTTGACTTCGAAGGTACCACCTGCTGTATTTAGCAACACACCCTGGAAGGTTCTGACTAGATAAAGGACACGAGGAAAGTTATCTCTGTGTGCCAGAACCTGTGCCACACGTGCTCAGGTCCTCTCCTGGTAATCACCACTGTGAGCCCCAGGGGAAAGGACCATTGCTATGTCCATATGCAAGAGGGGAAAATCAGTTTTCAGGAAAACTTAGGTGCTCAGCAAAAAAAAAAAAAAAAAAAAGGATGGAACCCAGATTGGAATTTGGGGCAGCTGATCTGGAATTCAGCTCTTTCTCCAGGAAGAAAAAACAAAAGCCATGTGTGGTAGTAGATGCTGAATGCTAGCAGTCTGGGAGGCTGAGACAGGAAGATCAAAAGTTTGAGCCTGGGACAATTTAGCAATTTAGCAAGACCTTGTCTCAAAATGAAAAATAAATAAGGGGTGGAATTTTACTCAGTGAGAAGGCCCTGGATTCAATTTCTGGGTACTGAAAACAGAGAGTGAGAGAGAGAGAGAGAGAGAGAGAGAGAGAGAGAGAGAGAGAAATTAAGTAATAGGAAGCCAAGGACAATAATTGTGTAGAAACACATTCCCCACTCAGGCATAGTGGTACATGCCTGTTATCCTAGCACTAGGCAGGCTGAGGCAGGAGGATCACAGCAAGTTCAAGGCCAGCCTCCGTTACATAGTAAGTTCAAAGCTAGCCTACACTACAAAGCAAGACCATGTCTCCAAAAAAAAAGATAGATTTGCTCTGGAGTTTCCTAGTGGCCAAATCAAAGAGGAAGAGAGGTTCAGTTACAAAAATTATTTTGTCCCTAAGACAAAATTCCCTGTTCTCAGGCCTACTCCCTACCTGATCCAGGGGTGTCCCTAAAGGCCTCCCCCACAGCCACACTCCTGCCCACTGTAAGGTGGGCAGATTGGCTGCATCTCTATTGGGGTCAGGAGATTAGGCCCAGAAGAGCAAATCTTTCTTTTTTTTTTTTTTTCCTGGCAGAGTTTGTGCGAATGATGTCTCGCTGAGCCTGTACAGAAGCCAGAGGCAGCGAACAGCACTGGAGGACCATGGCCTCTTCAGACTGAGTGTGCTCCCTCAAGCCCGTCCTGAGCAGCCGAGATCCTCCTCCCTCTCTGCCTGCCCCGCCCCTTACCCCATCTCTGTTTCTCTGACAATAAAGCATCAGCAAGCCTGGGAAGATGGCTTTTGCCTTTCACTTGCTATTTTGGAGGCCCCAAGAGCAGAGCACTGGGGCTGAGCTCTCAGATCATAAGCCATAAACTAGACTGCTAGCTCCAGATATGTGAGAACCTATGAGTTTTCCTCTCTGCATCCTAGGCTTAGTCCAGAGCTAGTGTCAGTAGACACATCTGGGTGGATAAACCCAACCTGCGTCTGGAGCCCAGATGTGTTTTCCCCTTGTATTCCCACTCCTCACCCTGCCAATGGCCCCTACCCCTCAAAGATTGCATTAGAGGGTGGAGGAAGTGCCGGGGGCAGGAGACTTTTCTCAGCCTGTCACCTTACTGCTGTAGCATACTGGAGAGGCCCAGTTCAGAGGTCCATTCCAGAACTCAGCTCCAGTGAGTTAGTTTGGGGAAAGGCTGGGCGGGGGGCACTTCAGCTTCAGGGCTCACACCTCACTCCATGTGGAAGCCCCAAGTTGCTGACCAAGCACAACTGGGGAATCAGGACCTGACTGTTTCTGCCTAACCCGAGACTCCTCTATGGAGCAGTCTTTGCCCTGATCAACCCTTTGAGTCAGCCAAGGTGCCACTGGGTCCTGCTGGGAATCAGAGGTCCTTCTGCTCTCCTTGTTCCCCTACCTTCCTTTCTGTTCTGCCTCCTGAGGGGGATCCACATACACATTTTCTCACGCAGAGCCTGCCCCAGGCTTCACAGGAAAACTGAGAGATACCATGTCGGCTGCTATAACAAAACATCTTAGATTGGATCAATTATAAGCAGCATGAATGTTTAACATTTACTATTCTAGAGGCTGGGCAGTCGGAGATCAAAGCACAGGCAGCCTCTGTTTGGTGAAGGCCTGGTCTCTGCTCTACAAGATGGTACCAACTCTGTGTCCTCACCTGGCAGGAGGATAGAAAGGACAAATATGCCTACCTAGTCCCCTCCAGACATTTTAAAAGGTCCTAAACTAATGATCCCTCATGGCCTAATCACCTCTTAAAAGTCCAACCTCTGTTACCTTTGGAATTTAGTCTCACCATGAATTTTGGAGAGGACACAAACCAGAGCACTGCGTCTAAGTGGTTTACCAGAGACCCTGTACTCCCATTCCCGTCTCTCCACAGGCAATTGTGTTATTCTTTCTAAAATGCTACCTAGCCAGGCATGGTGGCACATGCCTGTAACCCCAGCACTAGGGAGGCTGCGGCAGGAGGATTACCATGAGGTAGAGGCCAGCCTCCCTTCCATAGTGAATTCAAGATCAGTCTGAACTGCATAGCAAGACTCTTTTTTTTTTTTTTTTTTTTGTCTTTTTCCTATTTATCAGTACTGGGGATCAAACTCACGACTGCCTGCTTGTAAGTCAGGCGCTTATGCCACTGAGCTAAACCTCCAGCCCCACAAGACTCTTACTTAAAAACTAAATAAAGATATAAAAAAAACGCTTACATTTTTGTCTCCTTGTATCCAAGACCTGGCTGTGAACTCCCATTGCCTAAGGTTAATCAAGGGTGTTCCCAGGGCCAGAAGCTCCAGGAGGATGAGGGACTAGCATAAGGTCACACATGGTGAAGAAAGATGGGGCTTGCACTCAGGGACTCTAAAGCCACAGTGTCAACCAGAGAGGATGCCTCAGGGACAGGTAAACCAGGACAGTTCTCAGCCTCTTCCGGCTACAGAAAGAACTAGTGTGCAGCTCCTGTCTCCTGGGAGGAAGGACCAGCCCTGGCTTTCCCAGTCAAGAAATGGGAGCTCTTGCTCAGAGCCCTGGTGTTCACGAGGTGGTACAGAACAGACAGCCAGTCACCAGCACCCTGCCCATCCTGCAGCCTGAATGCCAAGGTGCCAGGCCTGGCTGCAGTGGCCCAAGCACCACACGCCTGGCAGATCCCAATTAATCCTTAATCTTCAATTAGATGATCCCTTCTGCCAAGCTGGCAGCCTGGGGATGGGGGTGAGGTGCCCCAGCCCAGTGGCTTCTCGGGGAGCCTCACAGCTGGCACAGATGGTATCACTGTCTCAGATGATGTCACAGCAGGGGCTGGGCATGGGAAGTGATGGGCATAAGGCAGGGGGAAACCAGAACCCCTCAACCTCTCATCCCTCCCCAGACTACAGCCCAGCAGACTCCGTGGTTGGGGTTGTGGAGGGAGGTTGGGGAGACACAAAATGCCTGCTGGGCCCAGGCATGATGGCACATGCCTGTACTTCCAGTGCTTAGAAAGCTGACGCAGGAGGATTGATGAGATTTTGAAGCCAACCTAGACTACATAGTGAGTTCAAGGCCAGCCTGAACTACATAGTGAGATCCTGTCTCAAAAAAAAAGAATATCTGCTTGGGCCAAAAATATCCACAGCCCTCCAAGTCTCATGCATTCCCCCACCCAAAAGGTCCCAGTAGACAACATCTAAAGCAAGGGCCAAGGCAGGCCCAAGGGACAGCAGGCATGCTGAGGTCACAGGGAACCCAGAGCCCTGCCAAAGGCCATCTACTGTCAGGCTCCACTGATGATTGACAGGGCAAACCTGAGCTGCCAGAGCTGCCAGTTTCCCCACATCTGTATATTCAGAGTTATATTACACCCACTGTAAGTATTTTGAGTGTAACATGTGTTTGATAGATATGAAGTGCACAGCTCAATGAGTTTTTACATGCATATGTACTCAGATAACCATGACCGGGTTGAATATTACATCCTCCTATTTTATTTTAGAATAGATTTAGGCTTACAGAATTATTGTGAAGATAATACAAATAGTTTCCTGTATATTCTGTGCTTAGCACTGCCCATGGATTAGGGTTCTCCAGAGAAACAATCATAGGACAGATGGACAAATGGGCAGACAGACTAGATAGATAGATAGATAGATAGATAGATAGATAGATACATAGATAGGAATACAGCTATCCCTGGCTGGGCATGGTGGCACACACCTGTAATCCCAGCCCTCAGCAGGCTGAGGTTGAAGAATCACCATGAGTTTGAGGCCATCCTGAACTGTATAACAAGACCCTATCTCAAAACAAAACAAAACAAGACAAAAATACATAGCTATCCCACAGGACAGAGCAGATTAAAGGACATTGGATTGTGGCTACCAAAACACAGTGACAAAGAAGGGGCAATTTCTGATGCTCCACAGTGGGTGGGAGGACTATAGCTCACAAGAACCTGTTATACAGTCTATGAGATCTAGTCGAGGAGAGCTTGAAAGGCCCAAACAACTGCTTTAAAATGACAAGAGGGCCAGGGATATAGTTTAGTGGCACAGCGCCTGCCTGGCCTAAGTTCAATTTCCAGTACCAAAAAAAAAAAAGGGTAAGGGAAATGTTAATTACCCTGATTCGATCAGTGCATGCTGTATCCATTGAAATATCACACTGAATGCCATTAATCCGTACAATAAATACCTATTAATCAAAAATAAAATAAAATAGTGCAGTAGTGCCTGCTTATAATCCCAGCTACTGGCAAGACTGAAGCAGGAAGACCACAAGTTTAAGGCCAGCCTGGGCAACATAGCAAGACTATGTCTCAAAAGAAAATAAATAGTCTAGCAAGCACGAGGCTGTGAGTTCAATCCCTGGCACTAAAAAATAAATAAATAATATGAACTGGAGATGACTGGAGATGCAGTTCAATGGTAGAACATTTGTCTAGTATGCAGGAGGCCCTTAGATCCATCCCCATCACACACACACACACACACACACACACACACACACACACACATACACACACACACATACACACACCACACAGACATACATACACAGGACCGATATCCACTGGTAACTTTCAATTAAGGATCCCTTTGATGCGGCCCCGTCCTTGGAGGGAGGGAAGCACTTTCCTTCTTTCTGGCACCACCAGAAGCTCCAGGCTCATCTTGTACGTTTCCTGCCTGGGTCTCAGAAAGAACCATTTCTGTAAGGAACCTGGTTCACCTTCCTAGAAAATGGGATCGGCAACAAGACCTGACACTACACCACTGCTTGGTGCTACTGAAAGTGAAGGTGCTAATTGCTCCTGGGCACTCTCAGCTGCTGGAACAAGGAGGTGTATGTTGTATACTATGTACATGTGCATTTATAAATAGTTGTGTGTAAGCAACTGGATCTATCAATTAAGCCGCAGATTAGTTCATACTGATTCCTTCAGCTCCACTCCATTACACCTGGCTCACTCTCACCTACCCCCTTGCTTACCTGAGAAACACGACTCCCACCACCCACCCTCCCTAACCATGGAAGCGTCCAACGGAAGCACCTTCTTCAGTGAGACTCCAGGGCCCACTCTGGAGTGCTTCCTTTTGCCTTTAGCTGGTTTCCCACCATCTATTCAGTTCCAGGTCAGCGCACCTGGAGTGAACATCATCTCAGACATTTGTGGTGTAGCTAGGTCCTCTGGCTACATTCTACCCTCCATCCTTGGATTCACTGACCTTCTAGATGATTCTTCAAATTTACATACATTAGAGTTTAATCACTCTCTTAATAAAATTCTCTATACTTCACTATTTAGTCTTACTTTGCCTCCTGCAAACTAGTAAACTTCTGTGTGACTTTCTCTTTTCAATTGGGAGTGGTATGCTTCCGTAATCTCAGCATGCCAGATGGCTGAGGCAGGAGGATCACAAGTTCAAGCCTGTGGGATCCACCATGTTGAAGAGCTGGTCCCCAGCCTGAGGCACTAATGAGGATAGTAAAAACTTTAGGAAGCAGGCCTACTGGCAGGAAGTTCATCACTGGGCCATGAACTTGAAAAAGATATTAGGACCAGGCTCTTCCTCTTCCTCTCCCCCTTTTTTTGGGGGGTGGCAGAGACAAAGACCTCATCAATCATAAGGTGAACAAGCCTCCTTTGCCACATGCTTCCTACCAGGATACACTTCTTTGGTGCAGGCTCAAAGCAACAGGACCAAGCAACCTTGACAAAATCTCTGAAGCCACAAGCCAAAGTAAAACTTTCCTTCTTCTAAGTGGACTGTATCAGGTATTTTGTCATAGTCATGGGAAACTGAGTAGCACAAAGGGCATCAGAGTTGCCTCAAATTTTGGAGATTATAAAACTGCTGGAAACACACACACACACACACACACACACACACACACACGTTTTTGTGAGAGTAAACATTTTCAAATCAATTGAGTTAGCATCCAGGGAACACAGTTGCTGGATTATAGCTAAGACTATATTTAATTTTGAAAAAAGCCACTAAACTATCTTCCAAAGTGGCTGTGGTGGCCCATACTCCCACTAACAATGAATGGGAGTTCCTGTTACTCCACATCCTTACCAGCAATTATTGTGTGATCAGTTTGTGCTTTATTTCTTTCACCATTTTTTTTCCTTTGGTGTTTTTTCTTTGATGCTTTCACTTTGTAGTCCAGGCTGGCCTCAAACTTACAGCAATCCTCCTGCCTCAGCCTACTGTCTTTAGGCATTTTAACAAGCATATGGTAATACCCCCAAATTGTTCATCAATTCTTTTATCAACATCTTATTATAAAAGTGAAAATAATTACATAGAAATATAATGTTGGCTACTAATATAAAATTATAAATCACTCAACAAACCCATCCATAGGCTGAATCAGCCAACAAACCCATCCATAGGCTGAACTGAGGCTGTGAGCTTCACTTTTCACCTTCTAATTTGGAGGTTGTCATGTTAACAGCCTCCAAAAATGCAGCAGGTGAGCTCAGGCCCAAGGCCTAGGAGAAGAGGGGATCCCCTGAAATACAGACCAAGAGGCATATGTTAGCTTCCTCCAGGTAGGCAAGATCCTCTGACTGGGAGAGACCCCTCTTGTCACCAGGGACCATTCTTCAAGGGGGAAATACATGTAACTTTAGCACAAGGTTCAGTGTTACCCCCAGATATATCTCTCCCCCAAATAGAGGTGCATATTTGGGTCCCCCATTAATTCATACATAAAAGCTATAATCCCTTGAGTGGCTATGTTGGAAATGGACTTCTAAGGAAGTAGTTAAGGTTAAATGAGGTCATAGAGCAGGCTCTGATCTAATAGAATTAATGTTCTTATAAGAAGAGTTATCAGAGAATTGATCCTTTCTCCTGTGCTGAGGAAAAGCCATGTGAGGACAAGAAAAGAGGCCTCACCAGAAATCTACCATGCTGGGGCCCTGATCTCAGACTTTCAGTCTCCAGAACTGTAAGGAAACAAATTTTTGTTGTCTCAGTCACTCAGTCTGTGGTATTTTGTCTTATCTGTGCATTCCTCAGCCCCAACAGACTCAGGCAGGCAGCAGTGGAGAAAGCCGGAAGACTCAGGACTGGAAGGACTGGTCCCAGTCAGTGGCCCCTCTTCACCCACTGCTCACAGTAGTTTTCTTGGGGAATCCTGGATAATTTGAACAACATTTCTTTTTTCCTAACAGTAATATACTTTGACTATATATTAGAGAACTATAAAGAGCATATCGAGCACAAAATTAAGCAAACTATGTTACTTTTCCTTTTTATTTGACTTTCCTAATTATTTATTTGTTTATTAACAGGGCATGGGGAAGACAATGTCTTGCTATGCAGCCCAGGCTGTCCTTGAACTTGCCATTGACTTCCTAACTGCTGGGACTGAAAGTGTGCACCACATCCAGCTATATTTGATTTTTTTAATGAGTTTGATGTAAACAAAATATTAACTAGAAGTCAAGACACTAGAGTGGGTGAAATCAGGGAAGTACTGGATAGGGCAGTAAGCTCAGTTTCAATACAAACAGGGCATGCTGTTATGTCCACTGTTTTGCCCACTTTCTAATTAACCCTCCATGGAAGAAAAAATAATGCATTATCATGTAGGGAGTCATGGAAGCTGGAGATTGTTCATATGTGTAGGAACTAAAGCAAGGCCATCACTGAAAACACAGAGAGCCCCAAACAAGCCACTTAACAAGCTGTTCCAGCACCAGGAAGGCAAGGAGCCCAGGCCAGCCAGGCTAACAAGTTGCTAGGCAGTGATATTGGAATCTACATCATCCTCCTGAGTGTATAAATAAACGTGCTACAGAGGTTGAGCAGTTCCTTTCCTCCCATCAGGAGACTAAGGGCGCCACCTGACCCCAGCTTTTGTCTCTTTAGTTCCTCATCCTCTCACAGTCCTTCACCCAAGTACCTCAAGAGCCACATGGGTCACGATATTATCCAATCATGTGTGTTCTCATACTTCCAAGCTTTGCATGTGTCAGTTCCTCTGCTTCGAGGGCCACCCTCCACCTCCTATTCCTCATTCCCCTACTCAAATGCTACGACTACTGGGAAAATCTCTGTAATGTCACCAGACAGACCCCTTCCTCTAAGTTCCAGGACAGCCCATCCCAGTCTCCACTGTAGGCAGTCTTACTGCAACCTGTGCCTCAGCTTCCCTCTGTCCCCAGAGGCTAGGAGCTCCCAGAGGACAAGCCACGGCCAATTCATTTTCGTACCTTTGTTCAGCTCAAGGTCTGGGATGGAGGAGTCACAAAACGTTGACAGGACAGACGAAGAAACTCTGCAGAGCTGGGGACTGGAAAGATACACGAGGACAGAAAGATTGTGGAGAGGAGCCTGGGAGAAAGGGTGAGTGGGTGGAGGAGGGTCTGAGTCTAGGCTTGTGAGGAATGATGTCTGAGGGGAAGGCACTGGAATGGGAAAGAAAAAAGAATGAAACAAACACTTTATGAATACTCATTTAATCCACACGATCACCCAGATAGTTTCTTCATTTTACAGGTGAGGGAAATTGAAGCATACTGAGGCGAGCAAACTTGCCCAGAAAAAAAAGGCTATTTCGCTGACTCCAGTCGGTAACCTTGGCCTGGACCAGTTTGGTCTCGGGCTCAACATGAGTTAGTATTAAGATTAACTGCTGTGGCTTTGTCATTATCTGAGAAGAGGCGCGAGACTTGAGGTGTGGGTTGGGGTGTGTGTGTGGGGGGGGTCCATAAGGGCACTCTTAGACCTAACACTAACCTAAACCTAAGGACCAGCCAATCCGGAGAAAGAGCCCGGGGTGGTGGCGTTGGTGAAGAACCAGTTGCCATGGGAACAAATGAAGGCCCGAGGCGGGCGCGTGCGCAGATCAGGGAAAGGGTGTTGAACCGGTGAAAGGTGACGTAAAAGCGCTCGGGGTGGGGCGCAGGGCTCTAAACGTCAAAGCCCCGCGTCCTTCGGCTCCCGGAGCGGAGGGAAGGCGCGCGACTAGCGCCGGCGACAGCAACCCTAGCCGGGCAGAGAGTGGGCGGCGCGGTGAGGACGAGCGAGTAAGGCGGGAAGGCGGCATCCGCTCCTGGGGAGATCCCTTCGGCGCGAACCGCGACAGCCGGGACCCAGAACCGGGCTTCTGAGGCCCTACCTCTCGGGCCTCGGGACTAATCGGATTGAGAGCGCGCCGGCCCGGGCCGCGAACTCGCCAATTGCTGAGGACTGCGGCCACCGCCCAATCGGGAGCAGACAGGTGCGAGGTCCGGAAGGCTGAGGCCAATCGGCAGCGGTTGCGACCTGCGGGGGCAGGCCTCAGCCAATAAGGAGGCTCAAGTGACAGCTCTATACGCCAATCGGGAGTAAGGAAGCGTTTGTGCCCGCCCACCCTTCCGGCCGGAGCTCTATTTACCAGGGGCGTGCAGCCTCCTTGCCAATCAGAGCGCAGCTGAGCTGCCCGGCAGCCAACCCCAGAGGAGCGGCCGGCTGGCGTCCACCGCACCCAGGAGTTGGGGATGTCCTACAAACCCATCGCCCCCGCCCCCAGCAGCACCCCCGGCTCCAGCACCCCTGGGCCAGGGACGCCGGTCCCTACAGGTGAGGATCCAATACCGCCGTTGTTTGTGTGCCCGGGCTGTGGAATTGTCGGAGAGAAGACGGCCTGAGCCGTCAGTCGGCCTCGTTGAGCCTCAGTTTGCTAGTCTGTGAAGTGGGCGGGGTCATGTCAGGGTTTGGAGGTGGAGCGCAGGGGGGAGGGGTGTGTCCCTTAAGTTGGTGAGCACAGATTAAAGCATCCTTTTGGAGGGAATCGGGTGAACTCTGTCCCGGGCTTGGAAAGCTGGGAGGTGGCGTCGTTGCCTCGCGCTGACCTCTTACTCGTGCCTGTTGCAGCCGGAAGTGTCCCATCGCCGTCGGGCTCAGTGCCCGGAGCCGCTGCCCCTTTCCGACCACTATTTAATGACTTTGGACCGCCCTCCATGGGCTATGTGCAGGTGAGTGACGAAAGACTTGCTTATGAGTGGGGATTGTAGGGAGTCTCCTTCCACCTGGGACTGAGCTTTGTGTGCTGTTCTCTTACCATAGGCAATGAAGCCACCCAGTGCCCAGGGTTCCCAGAGCACCTACACCGACTTGCTGTCAGTCATAGAAGAGATGGGCAAAGAAATCCGGCCTACCTATGCTGGTAGCAAGAGTGCCATGGAGCGCCTGAAGAGAGGTAAGTGTAGCCAGCCCCACCCTATGCTGCCCAAGAGACAGACACTGGATAGCAGTCCTCCTTCATTAAGGAAGGAAGGACAGCTGGAGTCGCTGCAGGACCCTTGAGCCAAGCCTGCGCTCAGGCCAGTGTCACTACCTAGAGAGGCATTTCAAACTGAATTAAAATTGAGTGCACTTCCAGGAAAGCACCTGGGAATTTTATTTCAACAGGGTGGATTTGAGGATTAGCCAAACTTCTAATCTCACCCATCGCCTCATTAGATTTGAGTTTCACTTGTTGCAACAAAAGGGAGCAGGGAAGATGTCGTTCTTGAGGGTGGGCGGGGTTAGGGAGGGTAGCTGAGACCCCAAATGTTCCTCATCTCCACCCTGACCCCATCCCAGGCATCATCCATGCCCGAGCTCTAGTCAGAGAATGCCTGGCAGAGACAGAGCGAAACGCCCGCACGTAACAGGAAGCACCTTGGCCTCAGCGTCTGGACCTTTCCGGCCACTGCAGAGCACCTGCTTCTCCCTGGCCTTCGCCCCAAGTTGCACTTCCTATCCTGGGCTTCCTGTCCTGTATCCCTTGGTGGGTGCCCTCCAGAAACCAGGGAGTGGCTCCCACTCCAGCTGGCAGCACTAACCGGGCATTCCCCCTGCAAGAGTTAGCAGTGGGGTCACTGTGAGTCCCACCATGATCTGCCAACAGCGTCGATCCACCTGGAGCTTCCTCCTTTCTGTGGCTCCCACCACTCCGCACTTCTCACCACTTTGTCCCAGGCCTTCTCCCTCGAAGGGGTTCAGAAAGCCTGTACATCCCTGCCTTGTCTCCAGGGCCATAACGACTCTTTTCTTGGTGTGATTTTTGCTAAACATGCCCTTTTTATATTAATAAAAGATGATTTGGAGTTGTTCTCTCAGCTCTGAGTCTTTCTGGGTCTGGTTCCTCTGCTTCAGCCTCTGAGGGCCAGGCAGGAGGAGGGAAAGAGTTGGTGCATGGGAACAGAAGGCCTGCTGAACCTGGCGGTGCCTTGCCTCTGCTGTCCAGTGGCCTGGGATGGGACCTGACCTTCTCAGGCCCTCTGCTTTACCGGCTCAGCAGTGCAAAGGGCAGAGCTCCCTCAGCTGAGAGCCCTGCGCGCCTTCCCGCGGTGCCACCAGGGGGCAGCGTAGGGTCTCGGCCCTTCCACAGCTGGAGCGCTGTTGGCCCAGAGGGCTCTTCCTCTGGTTAGCAAAGATGCACAGCCGGGTGAAAATGCCGGCTTCTTTAGGCCACTCCCTCTTACACTTTAACCCCACCCAACAAGTCTGAATGGGCTCGGAGTACACCGGCCTCTGACTCCTCAGAGAGGCGGTATGATGCTTCCCTCCCCCTAGCACTTTGGCCACCGAGGTTGGAGTCGGAGCACGGGCCTGCCCAGATGTTGCCTGCACCTTCCAGCAGACTGGGCGTGGTCCCGTTTAGCCTAGGGTGGTGGGGCAGCCGTAGGTGGGGCAGTCCTTGGGTTAGGCCCCAAAAGGCCCTGCCTCGAGTTGTATAGTGACCCGAAGGCACAGGGCCTTGGAACTTCAAGGAGTTCCTTGGTGCAGGCAAGTCAGAGTCTCCCACTGCCTAGACTTGGTGAGGAAAGCATTCTCCCTAGCCTAGGTTCCCCTGTAGGGGATTCCGAGGGTGAGGCCCTGGGGCGGACGGCCTGTGACCCTGACACCCAGCCGGACCAGACTCCACCCCTTCGCTGCACCAGGAGGGAGGGCTGAACTGGGGTGGAAATAGGAACCAAGAATCCAGAAGCCCCAGACAGCACAGAGAGAACGGGGCGCCGGCATCTGGGGAGCGGCCTCTTCGCCGGCAGCGTTGGGGAAGGAAGGCGGGGACCTGCCCGCCACTGCCACCGCGGGCGGGGCCGCCGGGACCCCGCAGGGCCCAGGAAGGGGGCGGGGCGGCCGCGGTGACGCTGCGGGGAGGGACGGCAGGGGCGCCGCCAGCGACCGGGAAAAAGGTCGGGGCCATGGGCCAGCGCTGCGCCTTCAAAGGGTCCGGCCCCTGCTGGAACTCAAGGCCCGGGTTGCGGGCGCGCCGGGCTCCGACTCGCCGGCCGGCCGCCGCTGCCCTGACCGGGTGAGGTGCGCACGCCACCAGCTAGAGGTGAGTGAGGACGTCGGCCGGCGAGCGGGCCAAGAGTACGGCGGGGACTGGGGCGCGCAGGAGCAGAGGGAAGTGGGGACAGTGGGGCCTCTCGCCTGCTCCGCTGGGTGCCAGGCGAGGGTGGAAGGGGTGTCTGCAGCGGAACTGTGACACCCGCCTGGGCGCAGGTTGGCGAAGCGGGTCTCCCAGGGCGGACACCTATGGACCACTCTTGCCCCAGCCTGTGGAGGGGGTCAACCCGAGGAAGGATGGTGGGTTGGCTGCATAGACCAGTGGAGAGTCGAGGGGGCCGGGAGTCCAGGAAGGATGTTGAGAAGTCGAGGACTTGGCTGCTGACTAGCGGAAGGCAGGTCTGGGGGCGGACGGGTTATTTGGTCCAGGAAGGTAAATTCGGGTGCTAGGGGTGGGGAGCAACTGATACAAATGCACGGGACCGCTCCGCTCCGTGGTGAGACATCCCGTGTAAGAGGCTCTTGGTGGACATTCAAGAGTGGGTGACTCCATGACTCGCCAACTCTGGGAAGGGATGAAAGGGGCGGGTCCCAAGGGATGGACGGTGGAAGGAGGTCCCCGGGTCTCCTGGGGGCGCGGTTCCACGGGATGCTGCTTCAAGGGGGCTCAGGATGCAACCGAGGTGGAGATGCTAAGCTGGCCCCGCGGCCCGCGCACTGGGGGGCCCGCGTCAGCGCGCGGTTGCCATGGCGACGGGCGGCGGGCGGGGGCTGCGTGGAAAAGAGGTCAGCGTTCAGCCTCGCTGCGGCTCCGGGGCTCAGAGCTCAGCTACAGCGCTGGGCTCGCCTTTGCCTCCCCGGTGGCGGACTCGCGTATGGGATCCCACAATCGGAACCCTTCGGCCCGCGCACAGGGCTTGGGGCCGCGCGCCACCGCCCCGCACTGACGCCCGCGCCGTGCCCTGCGCCAGGCGGAGCGGAGGCCGCGAGTGGCCAGCCCGAGCGCCTTCAGGATGCTCATCAAGGAGTACCACATCCTGCTGCCCATGAGCCTGGATGAGTACCAGGTGGCCCAACTCTACATGATCCAGGTGAGAGCGGTGAGGCGTGAGACTGGGGTTCTTCAAAGCGGGCTATTGGGAGCAGTGCACCGCGCCTGGGACCAGGGGTTTCGCTCAGCTCTGTCCCTGCCAGTGCAGATCCGGGTTCAGGGCCCAGAGTGGAAGAGAGAGGCTGCTTGTCAGAGGCCGGAGCAGGAGTGGGGCCAAGGAGCTTAAGGGCTTTGGAAAAGGGGCAGAAGGGCCAAGGGGTGCTTCCCCCCGCCAAAATGCCCAGGCCCAGCCCGATGGGGCCCAGAGCTCTGTATGATCTCCTTTAATCCTCCTCGGAATCTGTAATCCCCTGAGGAAAGGGCAAGAAGCCCGTGAGGGGGGGGGTAGGTGGGAAAGAAGGCAGGAAGGGTGTCTAGAGAAGATGCAGGGTCTTGGCAGCCCCAGGGGATCAGGGAGGCAGGATGAGAATTTGAATCCAAAACTCTGACAGGGACAGGGCAGGCAGGGACCAGGTTGTGAGGGAGGGGACCTAGGCTTGGGCTATGAGAAGGGCAAGCTCTCAGGATGTGGAGGGTCGATGCAGGCTCTCAGGGGTCTGTTCCAGCTCTGCTCCCCAGGACTCTCCCAATCAGCCCGAGGAAGCAAGAGAGCTGGAATACTCTCAGGGGGTTGAGTGGTCAAGTATGGGCTCCAGGGTTTTAAGGGGTGTGGCAGTAGCTGGGATTGGGGTCCCAGAGAGGAGAGGAACTAGTCCTCTAAGAGGTAGAGGCCCTTTTTCCAGCCATCCTGGCCTCTTTGCCTCTCTTTGAACACAGCCTGCTCCTACCTTTGAGGTTTGTACTGGCTTTCTCCCTGCTGGTAACACTTTCCCCCACCTCATGGAACGGGGTGCCCTCCTTCGCTTCTTCTAGTCATGTTCCAGTCATGCTGATGTTGTCTTCTAGGTGAGGGCTCCCATGACATCAACATTACAGTCCCCAACTCCTGATCACTCCTGTTTTCTTTTTCCCACATTTATCACTGTCTAACATACCCTATAATTCCCTTTTCCTGTTTTCTGTCTCCCTCCATCTCTAATAATGTACAGCCAGAGATCTTTGTTATGTTCACCAACAGATCCCTATTAATGTATCCCAAACAATGCCTGAAATGGAGCAGATATTCTACAAATACTCGGATGACCGAAATGAGTTCTGGGTTGTGGAACCCCATGGGGAACTGGGCAATGCCCTGATCCTGATCCCAGATTGCTGCAAGGGCCTAGGTTGGATGGCAGGGAGTTGAAAAGGCTGTGCAGGGGACCAGACCCAAGCTGGGGACCTCAGGAGCTGAGCTTGGTTGAACTCCCCATTCTGTTTTGTCCTGATTTGGGCTGCAGAAAAAGAGCCGGGAAGAGTCTAGTGGTGAGGGCAGTGGTGTGGAGATCCTGGCCAACCGGCCATACACCGATGGGCCTGGAGGCAGCGGGCAGTACACGCACAAGGTGTACCACGTGGGCTCCCACATCCCAGGCTGGTTCCGGGCACTGCTGCCTAAGGCTGCCCTGCAGGTAGAAGAGGAATCCTGGAATGCTTATCCCTATACAAGAACCCGGTGAGTGGGTGAAGAAGGCACAGTCCTGGGGCCATGAGAGTACCCCTGGTGGGCACAGTAGTGACTTTCACCCCTGCCCTTTGCCCAGGTACACCTGCCCCTTCGTGGAGAAATTTTCCATTGAGATAGAAACTTATTACCTGCCCGATGGGGGGCAGCAGCCAAATGTGTTCAACCTGAGTGGGGCTGAAAGGAGACAGCGCATCCTGGGTGAGACTGGAGCTACTAGGGTCCATCCCAGTCCCTGGGGAGGGGATAGGGTCGAAGGGGCTGGCATGGCTCAGTGCTTGCTGCTGGAACCCCTCAGACACCATCGACATCGTGCGGGATGCAGTGGCCCCAGGCGAGTACAAAGCAGAAGAGGATCCCCGGCTGTACCACTCTGTCAAGACAGGTCGAGGTCCACTGGCTGATGACTGGGCCCGGACCGCTGCCCAGACAGGACCCCTCATGTGTGCCTATAAGCTGTGCAAGGTTGAGTTCCGCTACTGGGGCATGCAGGCCAAGATTGAACAATTCATCCACGATGTCGGTGAGCACCCAGCTGAGGCAGGTCCTTACCCACCATCTATCAGGGCCCATGTTCGCAGTGAGGGATGCTCCCCTCTGCTGGGGACAAAGAAGCCATCATTTCCATTTGGGAGCAGGGGATAACAGCTTGGTTGAGGGTCAGGGGATCCTGCCTTGAAGTTCCAGAAAGAAGAGGGTAAAAAGCTGGCAAGATAGTCTCAAGTGCAGGCTGCCTCTGACATTTAAAGATGCTGCTGCTCCCATTAAGATTCTCCATCACTCTGTGAGTTAGGCAAGATTTAGAGAACCTCAGGAGGGTTACCAGCCCTCACAGGCAACATGCCAAGAAACGCAGGGTAAGGAGCTATGACTCTGATGTCACTCTCTCTAGGGTGCTCCCTGCCCATTCCCAGCTCCCAGAGTCCCAGCCTCTGACTCTGGCATCCGGGAGGCCTGTTCTGTACCTCTTCAAACCTCCCCCTGCACAACTCCTGCACCTCAGCCTTGCCTTCCCTCCCAGCTCTGGAAGTGAGCCACCTGCACATAGGAGGACATGCCTGGGTGGGGAGTCCAGCAGCCTGGTTCTGCCAGCAAGCCATTGTCCATCTTGGCATCTTCATTTTCCCTTCTGTAAATGAGAAAGAGGTTGGGCCTGACAGTAAGAGCTAATGTTGAGTGATCATAGCATCCTTTGTCAATCACTTTCCATGCAAGGTCTTCACACCTCCCGAAACACCTCAGAAAGGCAAGGGCTTTTGTTATTCCCATTATACAGATGTGGAAATTTAGTTTTAGAGTGTGATATGGACTCCTGCATGCCAACTGAGAAGCATAGTAGAGCATATGTGAGAAAATTAAAATTTAAAAATGAGAAAATTAAAATCACCTACGTTTAACTACTATTGGGATACTGATATATTTTCTTCCAGAAATTTATAATTCAACTGTTAGCATTTTGTTTCCTAGATATTTAAGAGTTTCTTTTTTCCTCTGCTTAAAATGAAAATATCCCCAAATGGGTCTCATCTTTCACTGCAGCCTTCATGGAGTGCCAACACTTCCATTAACTATTAACACCTTTATTAACCACTGACAATTTCATTAACTGTTAACACCCTAATTAACCATTAGCTCCTCAGAAGTCAGCAGGAAGCCAGCTGAAAGCAAGCGACAACAAGCACTGGTCCCAACGGCTGGAGTGGAGGGGTGGGCTAGGTGCTCAGGCAGAGAGTGCAGAAGGGTAGATGGAGCAGTGGGCAGGGGTGGGGCGGCAGGAAGACCACTCCAGTTTCACTTCTGTCCCTTGGAGAGCACTGGCCCTGCCCTACTTTGTGGCCTTTGGTGGGTGCTATGCCCAAAGGAGTTACTACCCAACCTCCAAGGCTGCACATGTGGCTGCAGTGGCAGGGAAATGGGGTGGCAGGGAGTTCTGATTCCTGGCCACCTACAGGTCTACGACGGGTGATGCTGCGGGCCCACCGCCAGGCCTGGTGCTGGCAGGATGAATGGACAGAGCTGAGCATGGCTGACATCCGGGCACTAGAGGAGGAAACTGCCCGCATGCTGGCCCAGCGCATGGCCAAGTGCAATACAGGCAGTGAGGGACCAGAGGCCCAGCTCCCTGGAAAACCCAGCACTGAGGCCCGGCCTGGGGCCAACAACATCAGCACCCCTGATGGGCCTGAGGCCCCGCCTGGCCCTGATGCCTCACCTGATGCCAGCTTTGGGAAACAGTGGTCCTCATCCTCCCGTTCCTCTTACTCATCCCAACACGGAGGTGAGGCTGGGGCACAGGCACCATGGTGGGAGGGCACCATTCACCTCAGGTTGGGCTCCCAAGCTGAGGGCTGCTGGCCCTGCAGGGGGCGTGTCTCCCCAGAGCCTGTCTGAGTGGCGCATGCAGAACATCGCCAGAGACTCCGAGAACAGCTCCGAGGAGGAGTTTTTTGATGCCCACGGTCAGTACCAAAGCCCTGATGGAGGATGGGTGTCCCTCAACAGCACCTCCCATTCCTTGATGCAGCCCACTCTCCCCTCAGAAGGCTTCTGGGACAGTGACGAGGTCTTCCCCAAGGAGATGACCAAGTGGAATTCCAATGACTTCATTGACGCCTTTGCCTCCCCAATTGAGGCAGAGGGTGTTCCAGGTAACAAACAAACAAACAAATCAGGACACCAACAAACAAACAAACAAATCAGGACACCGGCTACTATCACCCCATCTGTAGCAGGGGCTCAGAACAGCTCATTCCTAAGGTAAATGTCAGTCCAGAGCGGGTACTCATTAATATTCAGATGCATAGCGAATGGCTAATGGGTGGAGGGACAGATGATTAGAGTGCAGACAAGGCTCAGACAGCACAATGGAGGAATTGTCACTGGGATCCTGAAAGACTTCACAGTGCGGCTGATGCCTGGAGTGGGTTTTGAAGGCATAGAACAGCACTGTCCAACAGAAGTGTCTGTGATGATGGAAATGATCTAGGTCTGCACGTCTCCTTATGGTAGCTGCCAGCCACACATGGCTGTAAGCAGTTGAAATAAGACCAGTGTAAAAAAAAGAGAAGGAAAGAAATAGGATCAGTGTGACTGAGAAACTGCATTTTCTTCTCGTATTATACTTTGATTCATTTAATTGCAAATAGCCACACATGGCTAGTGGCTATCATATTGGATGGAGGAGGATTAAAAGTTAGGGTGAACAGGCATTAGAGAGAAGCATCCCCAACCAAAAGCAGGGCTGGCATAAGGAAAAGCCTAGAATCTAAAATGGTCTGGCAGACTCAGGAGAGAGGAAGATGGGGTTGGGGGCCACAGGCACTAAAGCACCAGGTGAGGGGTTACCAGTGGTCCCCTGGCCCCTCTCACCGGCTTTTGTCTGCCCTACAGACCCTGGAATCGAGGCCACTAAAGGCAATGAAGATGGGGTTCGAGCACCCAGGGACTCAGAGGTGGGTATGGTCAGCTCCGGGTGGAAGTTTCACCTGCATGCTGGCCCTGCCACTGCTCTGACACCCAGGCACCTCACTCCCCCAACAGGGCCCAGATGGAGCCGGGGAGCTTGGGGCTGAGGCATGCCCAGTCCACGCCCTCTTCCTCATCCTGCACAGCGGCAACATCCTGGACTCTGGGCCTGGAGACGCCAACTCCAAGCAGGCGGATGTGCAGACACTGAGCTCAGCCTTCGAGGCAGTCACCCGAGTCCACTTCCCTGAGGCCCTGGGCCATGTGGCGCTTCGAGTCGTGCCCTGCCCACCCATCTGCGCTGCCGCCTATGCCCTTGTCTCCAAGTATTGACCAGGGGTGAAAGGGCAGGGGACACACAGGGTCCCCAAGGTGCAGACAGCTACTTGAGGGCTCCTAGGACAAGGGAGGTACCATGAAGGGAAAGGGAGCAGAACACCTAGGTCATCCTGGTCATGACTGGACCTGTTTCTGATCAATGAATGTCTCAGATGCCTCTTAGATCAAATATCCCACACAGGACAGGTGCTGCCCAGAGCTTGGTGGTAGCCCACTGGGACTTGGGTGGTAGTGTTGGGGCTGGAGTCCCCTTACCTACCCTCCACACACCTTCTTTCTACAGCCTGAGCCCCTACAGCCACGATGGCGATAGCCTGTCCCGCTCCCAGGATCATATTCCACTGGCTGCCCTGCCACTGCTGGCCACTTCATCCTCCCGCTACCAAGGCGCTGTGGCCACTGTCATCTCCCGCACCAACCAGGCCTACGCAGCCTTTCTGCGCTCATCGGAAGGCACTGGCTTCTGTGGGCAGGTCGGGGGTCAGGCATGTTCCCGGGAAGCAAGCTGTCCACTGCAGTGCCAGCTATGGCCCAGTCTCAGTGGTCACAAGTCCTCTCAATGGTGCCCACCCTCTCATGCAGGTAGTGCTGATTGGAGACGGCGTTGGTGGCATCCTGGGCTTTGATGCGCTCTGCCACAGTGCCAACACAGGCACAGGGAGTCGGGGCAGCAGCCGCCGTGGGAGCATGGTCAGTGTGGCCAAACCAGCCTCCTCAGGAGGGGGGTTGTCTCTCTCCATCTCTAGGTCTCTGCCCTGGGCATATTACCTCTCTGTGTGCAGGCGGGTCCCCAGCTGCCTCTTAAGTTCAAGTATCCTCTGCCTTCCCAACCCCAGCCTCTGTCCTTGCTTCTAAGTTAAGTAGAAATCAGATGCGCTCAGGCCTAAACTGGTTCTGTCCTCTGTCCCATGTAGAACAATGAGCTGCTCTCCCCAGAAGCTGGCCCAGTGCGGGACCCACTGGCAGATGGGGTAGAGGCACTGGGACGAGCCAGCCCAGAACCCTCAGCCCTGCCTGCACAGCGCACCCCCAGTGACCTGGCCAATCCTGAGCCTGAGGGCTCCCAGAACAGGTGATGTCCTTATCCCTTCACCCCTGCCCTGGACACAGGCTAGACTTCAGAGGCAACAGCACTGAGAAGCCCCCTCTGCCGCAGCCTGCAGCTGGGGCCTGCAACCACCTCCTCGGGGGAGCCCCGGCGGGCAAGCACGGCCTCCTGCCCACCTGCTGCCAGTGCTGAAGCTCTCGATGGCCCCACCAACACAGCCCGCCTCGACTTCAAGGTCTCTGGCTTCTTCCTCTTTGGCTCCCCCTTGGGCCTGGTGCTGGCTCTGCGCAAAACTGTGATGCCTGCCTTGGAGGGTAAGCCCTTGGGTGGGAGTCTGCCCCTGCCCCTGCCCTGTCTCCTTTGGGCTTTTGATCTCCCCTATGACCATGGCATTATTATTGCCATTTCCCACTGTGCGAGTTTAATGGTCCGGCTAGAGAAGAGGAAGGAGAAGAAAAAGGGGCTTGTCAAGACTGTTTCCCAAAGTTCTCTGGAAGGAACATCACAGCCAGGAGATGCTCTCCAAGAGAAGGGGTTCTACAGGCTCAGGAAACGCCATTCTTAAGCACAGCAGCCAATTGAAAGGCCTGATCTCTGCTTAGCCAAGAGACCTATGTCACTTTAAGCAGGACCCTTGTGACTTCCCCAAGTACAGTCTGAGAAGAGTGGCTCAGGGTCACAGGGAGTCAGGGTGCTCTATCCACACCCTCTGCTTCCAGCTCAAACCCCTCCCCATCTTCTCTGTCTTTGGGTACCCAGTGGCCCAGATGCGCCCAGCCTGTGAGCAGATCTACAATCTCTTCCACGCAGCCGACCCCTGCGCCTCCCGCCTGGAGCCCCTGTTGGCCCCCAAGTTCCAGGCCATTGCTCCCCTGGCTGTGCCCCGCTACCAGAAGTTCCCCCTGGGAGATGGCTCTTCCCTCCTTCTGGGTATGCTGTAATCAGGACAAAAGAGGAAGGGAAGACACCACCAAGGAGGGAGGAGGTAGTAGAAGTCATGGGTAGTTCTCACCTCCTGACAGTCTCTCCTTTACCACTCCCAGGACCAAGGAGCCCTCTGCACTGGGAGGGTTTCAGTCTCCAGGACTTTCCATGCCACAAGTTGGGGGCGGGGGGTGGCAGTAACTAACCTAAAGAGAGGAAGCAGAGGGGTGCTGGCTCATTGGTATCTGAGAGCAGCCAGCATTTAGCACAGTGGCTGCTGCATCCATGTGTAGAAGTGCATTGTGGCTTCATGAATGCCTGAGGACATGGCATGTGCTCATCTTCATGCAGTTGGGTCCCCACTGGCTTCATGGGACAATTTCACAGGCACTGTGGCAGGAATGTAGGTGGCTACTGAGTAAGCTAAGTGAAGATGATGCCCCCTACACACACGCACACACACACCTCTTGACCCCAGATGCAGGACAGTGTAGCTTCAGCCAAGATCCAAAGTTGGCAGGGGAACTGGCAGAGGTGGAGGGGCTGCCTGGCCCACCCTGCTCTGAGAGTACCCTCTTCCCACAGCTGACACTCTACAGACGCATTCAGGCCTCTTTCTAGAAGAGCTGGAGATGATGGTGCCCTCCACGCCCACTTCATCCAGCGGCACCTTCTGGAAGGGCAGTGAGTTAGGCCCGGAGTCCTCGGCCCAGCCAGCAGCCCCCAGCACCACCAGCGAGGTGGTTAAGAGTGAGTCAGCCAGCAGCTCTCCTGGGCAGTCCAGGCTGGGGCTGGGGTGGGATGAAGTATTCCATCAAGAAACCTTTTGCCCAATATCTGCACTGTGCCTCCCCCCTATTACCTCCTGGGCACGACAAAGATCAGGCCCGGTGAAAAAGAGGGAGGGAAGTATACCCATGGGTTGAGCAGATGGCATGGGACAGCAGGCCACCCTGACTGTCTGCTGTGGTCACTCAGTTCTGGAGCGCTGGTGGGGGACCAAGCGGATCGACTACTCGCTGTATTGTCCCGAGGCACTCACTGCCTTTCCCACCGTGACGCTGCCCCACCTCTTCCACGCCAGCTACTGGGAGTCCGCAGATGTGGTGGCCTTTATCCTGCGCCAAGTGAGTGGCCTTGGGAATGTGGAGTGGGCAATTCGATGTGGAGTCTCGCACCAGGGGACAGCCAGCCCTCCCCCTACACCCTTCACATGGCCTGGTCCTGCATCCCACGCAGGTGATAGAGAAGGAGCGGCCACAGGTGGCTGAGTACGAGGAGCCGTCCATCTACAGCCCGGCCTTCCCCAGGGAGAAGTGGCAGCGCAAACGTACGCAGGTCAAAATCCGGGTACGTAGCCCACCCCCGCAACCCTCTGGAGTTGGCTGCTGCGGGTTCTGGTTCTGCGGAGCCTGCAAGCTCACCCCCCTCCAACTTCGGACCTGCGTTTCCCAGCCCCAGCCTGGCCAAGACGGTACTGGGCCTACTTCCTCTTTCCCGTGCCCCACCCACCGTTGCCTTGGCCCTGTCCCTGGGAGTCTGTGGTCTCCTCCACCTTGCCCCTGCGCCCCAGGAAGTCGGGGCTGAGCCTTGTTCACCCCAGCCTGGCTCATTGTCAGCTGCCCTCCTATCACAGATTCAGTCCCCAGACTTGCGCCTCCCTCCCGCCTCCTACTGGCAGCCTCCCCACCTTCCTGGCTCCGCCCTCAGTGTGGGGCAGGTTCTCCCACCCTGCATGTGTCACCTTCAAGCAACCCCATGTTTCCCACGGGGGACTCCTAAGGCTTATATTGTCTCCTCCTGCCAGAATGTCACTTCCAACCACCGAGCCAGTGACACTGTGGTGTGCGAGGGCCGCCCCCAGGTGCTGAATGGGCGCTTCATGTACGGGCCCCTGGACGTGGTCACACTCACTGGAGAAAAGGTCAGGACTCAGAAGCCCTGGCCCCTGGAATTCTGACCCTGCCTCCTGTCCCAGAACAGCTCCTGATGGGCAGGGGTTTCCCAACATGGAGTTCAGGCTGGCCTCTATTAACCTCCACTGGAAAGGGGGTGGAAATTGCACACACACCCCCCCAGGACCTTCCCACGCTCTGTCCCTTCCAGGTGGACGTCTATGTCATGACACAGCCGCTCTCAGGCAAGTGGATCCACTTCGGTACTGAAGTCACCAACAGCTCGGGCCGCCTCACCTTCCCGGTGCCCTCGGAGCGCGCGCTGGGCATCGGTGTCTACCCGGTGCGCATGGTAGTCAGGTGAGTGCCGGCAGGCCAGGCCGCTGTGGGACGGCGCTCTGCCTGGCCATGCCCCACTCTCACTCGCTGTCATGTGTCTTGAGCCACAGGGGTGACCACACTTATGCAGAGTGCTGCTTGACAGTGGTGGCCCGTGGCACAGAGGCTGTGGTTTTCAGCATTGACGGCTCCTTCACCGCCAGCGTCTCCATCATGGGCAGTGACCCCAAGGTGCGCGCAGGTGCCGTGGATGTGGTCAGGTAGGAGCTGCCCCTATATGCCCTGTTGGCAGTGATGACCGACCCCCACTGCGCCCATGGAGCTGACCAACTCCCTCCGCACAGGCACTGGCAGGATGCGGGCTACCTGATCGTGTATGTAACAGGCCGGCCCGATATGCAGAAGCATCGTGTGGTGGCCTGGCTGTCACAACACAACTTCCCTCACGGAGTCGTCTCCTTCTGTGACGGCCTCACTCATGACCCCCTGCGACAGAAGGCGATGTTTCTGCAGAGCCTGATGCAGGAGGTCAGCTGGGGAGGGTCCTGCCCATCCTTGCCTCAGACAAGACAGTGGAATCATATCTGGTCTCACTCCATTGCCTCCATATGCCATGGCTGCATACCTGGGCCACTGGAGCTGTCCTTGTGGGCCAAAGGGAGATGAGTAGGTCCTGTCCCAGTGGGGGTGACTATATGACCGCACCTCCACCCAGCTAATCCTGCCCCCTAACTAAGGATGTCCACAAGCCACATCCCAGCAGCCCATCCAGCTCCTCAGGACTTTTTAACTGGCTTCTCTCACCACAGGTGGAACTGAATATCGTGGCTGGGTATGGGTCTCCCAAAGACGTGGCTGTTTACGCAGCTCTGGGCCTGTCCCCCAGCCAGACCTACATTGTGGGCCGTGCTGTGCGGAAGCTGCAAGCCCAATGCCAGGTGAGGGCCTCGGGATGAATGGCACGCTGCCAGGGAACAGGAGCTGGAGGCTAAGGCCTCAGAACCACCCTGGACTGAAGCAGAGGCAGCTGTGAGAAGGCCACACCGACCTCAGGGAACCTGGGCTGCTCCTGGGAAAGGGGCCGTGGGTAGCCAGGTCTGCCTGGCCTCCAGGCAGACTAGCCATGATATCCCAGGCCAGAGCACAAGACTTTCACATGCTGGCTCCACTCACCATGGCCTTGGGCTTGGGCCTTGATATTCTGATCCTCTGGGTCCTATCTATAAATGGCAAGTACTGGCCCTGACCTCATCTGTTTATCGGAAAGGTCAAATCCTTTGCGGCACATCAGCAGGCTTGGGACTGAGTACAAGTGAGCGCTTGCTAAGTGTTAGCTGCTGTTTTCCTCCAAGATTCCACTTTACCGATGAGGCAGGCCCAGGGAGGGGCAGAGGTAGGAACAAAGCCAAGGTGCCCTGGCTCACTGCCAGGGGATCCTATCTGTTGGGAGACAACTCCAGGTCAGGCTGGGCTGGGCCTGTCATTTGCTGGCATTGCCCTGTCACCCACCCTGCCACAGAAGTGAGGGGAGGGGAAGGTGGGGGCCCCAAGCTGGCCATCCTCTCTTCCCTGCTCCTTTCTACTCACAGTTCCTGTCAGATGGTTACGTGGCACACCTGGGCCAGCTGGAAGCGGGTTCCCACTCTCACACCTCCTCAGGACCCCCGAGGGCTGCTCTGGCCAAGAGCAGCTACAGTGTAGCCGCCCCTGTGGACTTCCTCCGCAAGCAGAGCCAGCTGCTTCGCTCCAGGGGCCCCAGCCAGGCAGAGCGCGAAGGCCCTGGAACGCCACCCACTGCCCTGGCACGGGGCAAAGCCCGAAGCATCAGCCTCAAGTTGGACAGTGAAGAGTGAGCCCCAGATGTGGCTGGACCCAAGTTATTTATTGACATTCAAGAAGTCCAAGTAGCTGCGTGTGGGAAACTGGGGGCTTAGATCTTGGGCCCCAGTCCTGGCCCCCCAGGCCCACACCCTGCATCCATCTGCCCCTCCGTGATACTTTCCTTTCATGGGGGGAACCCAGCCCCAAGGGACGGGAGGAGGGGCGGCAAGGACCTAGCACCTTTTCCACTGTGTAAATCCCTGAAAATAAACACCTGCATCCCCACTGCCTACTCATCGGCCTGACTGCACAGGGTGGCCAAGCGCAGCTTCTAGTAAAGTGCAGAAAGGGGCCAGGTCCTTCCCAGGGTCAGTCGTCAAGGCTGCAAGGGGCCCTGGCCTCTGCTCTTCCCAGTCAACCCAGCCCCTACTGACTCTCACCTCAGCCTATTTTTGAATCTGCGGGTTCTACCTGGCTTCTCTTTTTCACTCTGCCTCCTCCAAAGAAAACCTCTGTTTTTAGAAGCTGAGACCAAAGAACCAGAGGCTGGAGAGGAAGGGATATACTAGAGACCACCCAACTTTACCACCATCCCTGCTTAAGACTAGAGGCCTCTAGGGCTTCCCAGCACCCACCAGTGAGCACTACTCTCCCATTTCTCTGTCAGGGACACTGAGGCCCAGAGCTCCTCAGAGCTGACCAGTAGTGTGCTAGGATAAGAACACTAATCTTTTGCCTCCCCAGCCACCCAAGTAAATGGCAAACAATAACCAGCCCTCTCAATGAATGGGCTCAGCAGACCAAGAGAGAGATAAATAAGGCCTTTATATACAGAGAAGCAAGACATAGCGGTGGTGACATGGTTGGCAGGACAGCAGTGGGGTAGCGCAGAGGGAGGCTGAGGCCATCAGTGGGAGAAGATGCCCCGGAAGCGGGCCTTCTCCTCCTGGTCCTTCTGCCGGATCCGTGTCTCCAGGGCTCGCAGCTCACGGTTCACAATGGGCTCCAAGGCAGGGTCCAGCTCCAGCACCTTAGCGAAGTCCGCCTGGGCCTCCTGGGTGTTCCACACAGCAGCGTGGGCCTTGCCCCGCTTGAAGTAGGCCTTGACGTTGTCTGTGGGATACCCCCAGGCCTCAGGCACAGAAGGGCATGAAGGGGGACCAGCTAGCTGTCTGGCCCCATCTCCTGGCATCATGGGCCCATCAGGGAAAGCCTGCCTCAGCCTAAGGAAGCCAAACCACCCTGCCCCGCTGCACCACTCAGTCTGCATAGGTGCAAGGGGCTGCAGCCCTGGCTGGGTGCAGGGATCTGAGGAGCTCAGAATGGGGTTTGGAAGCCCAGCGCCCAGTGCTCACCGTCGTATTTGTTGAGGATGGAGGAACAGTGGTCCAGGACTTCGTAGTACTCCTCGGCCACGAGCTTGCACTGGCAGTAGTTGAGCAGCAGTGGAGTGATCTGCTGGTCCAGCTGTATCCAGTCAGGGGACCCAGGCTGCTCCTGTGGGCGTGGGGATACGGACAGGGTAGCCACTGACACCTGGGCCCCCGGGCTCAGCCTCACCACCTTCCAGTCAACAGCCACAGCCCAGCCCACCTTCATCTGCAGGTTCTTGAGGCAGGCGATGGCGTCGTAGTACTTGGCGGCCGCCTCCTTCACGTGCCCCTCACGGTACAAACGGTTGCCCTCCTGGTGGATGAGAGGCACTGCCTTTGCCTTCTCATCGTCCGTCATTGCCCATGGGTCCTGCTGGTAGGTGCCTGGGCTCTCCACCTGCCAGGACATGAGCCAAATCAAGGGAGAGCCTACAAGCACCCAAGGGTCCCCAGCTGCAGACTCCATCAGCACCTACAGACATTGAATGCTAGAAGTCGTCACTTTTCAGGACCAGGCACTGGCCAATCAACACAGCAGCTCTGTGCCCAGCACTATGCCAGGTACAAGGAACAGAAGAGTGAACAAGACAGTGGACATCCCCGGCCTGGCAGGGATTCTGTTCCTCAGCAAGAGTCCTCGAGCAAATGAGGAACACAGGAACTCTACTGCCTTCAAAGCCCGGAAGGAAATGGTCAGCTGAGGAACAGAGAATGAAGGAAGCAGGGTGTGCAGGAGGTGGTGCCCTTCAGGGCCTGAAAAAGAGCAGGGGCCCCCACAATGTTCTCATCTCTACCCCACCCAAAACAAGCCCCACCTCACAGGGCAGGGTGGGGTGGCGGGAGCGTGGCCTCACCCTAGACCGTGTGGCCTGGTCTGGGAGGCATGGGGACCCACCTTCAGCATCTCCATGTGGAAGATGAGGGGCTGGGGGTTCTGCTGCAGGGCATCCAGGTCAGCGTGACCCAGCGAACTGTGCTCATGCATCTGGGCGATGCCACAGCAGTGCCGCTGGCCCTCCAGGGGGTCCTTGCCTGCTGCAATGTTTCGGAGACTCTTGGCCACCAGCGGATAGAGGACCACGTGCTGCAGGTGGGCAAGGGGACACAGTGGCTGTCAGCCCAGCCTACTCCCCGTCACCATCTAACAAGGCCAGTGGCTCTGGCCAGCACCCCATTGAAATCCCAGAGGGCTGTTTCCTCGGGGCACTGCTGGCCTCTCTGCCCTCATTCCTGGCAAAGTCTCCAGCCTCTCCATACCCTGTGGCTATCCAACCTGGATACCCCTCACGGACACACAGCCCAGCATGCCACCTGTCTCCCATCCTTCCAGGGCACTTCTTAGCTCTTCCTCCTCCTCCTGTCCCTCCTACAAGCTGGACTCCTCACCACAATCTGCACCCCTTCCTCCCCATCCCGACCCAAGGCAGCCACTGCAGCACCCTGGGAGAGATGGGTGAAGGGGACCAAGCCTCTCAACTTTTCACTCAGAAAATCTGCAGGGACAGTAGAGAGTCCCCGACTGCCCTCTGCTGTCAGAATATGGACTGAAGTTTGCCTGGGCTCTGGGCTGACTTCCATCTACCATTAAAAGGTAAATGGAAGCCAGGCTTGGTGGCACAGGCCTGTAATCCCAGCCGTAAGGAGACTGAGGCAGGAAGACCACTGTGAAATGGAGCCCAACCTGGACTACACAGTGAGTTCAAGGCCACCCTGAACTGCACAGCAAAACTTTGTTGCCAAAAAGAAAAAAACAGTAACAGCAACAACAACAAAAAGAGGTAAATAGCCCAGGCATGGTGGGGCACACCTGTAGTCCCAGCACTTAGGAGGCTGAGGCATGAGAATTGCTGTGATTTCAAGGGCAGCCTGAATTACAGTGAGACCTAGTCTCAAGGGGAAAAAAAGAGGTAAACCCAGAGCCCTAACCTGTACAGCTCAGGACCAGACAGCAGATGAGCAGTTTCTAGCTGTGCAGTGCATGCGGGCTGGAGGACCCAGGGGACACATGAAGCCAAGCACTGGCAGTCAGGCAGGGCTTCCTGGGGACGGTGACACAGGCATTGGCTTTGAGGTACAGGGAGAGTCTGGACCATGGTGAAGGGTTGATTTGGACGAGACAATAGTCATGAGAACAGCCACGTTTGCACTCCATCCTATGGGGGGCAGGCGCCACGGAGGTCTGTGTCTGAGAATAAGTCCCCTGGATCACAGTCCAAAGGAGATGGGACGAGATGCTGGGAGAGCAGTCAGAGATGGGTGCAGTGGTCCAGACAGAGATGGTGGGAGGCAAGCAGGGGGGCCTGGGAATGGGGAACAGGGCATGGTGGGGCAGAGACTGCAGACAGGCACAGGATGGGTACCTTGGTGTCACAAAGGAACTGGGCAACCTCCCCCTCGCGCATGGTGCACACGATGGTCTCCCACACGGGCAGCTTGAACTTCTTGCCGATGATGAGCTCCATGGGCTTGCCCCGTGCCCGGCTGTCATCCAGCACGGTGTCCTCATTATCACTGTGCAGCGTCCGGTAGTGAAATGTTGCCTGTGGGCCACACGGAGATTAGGCAAGACACACACTACCAGTTGACCCAAGGACAAGTCTACCTCAACCTGCACATGGCACGAGGGATGGCACTCACCTGGGGTTATATTGACCCTACACCTGCCTTTACCCCCACCCCAGTGAAAAACCAAGTCACAGAGAGGAAAGTAAGGGGCCAAGTCACCTGACTAGCTGGTGGCTATGCTTTGAGAAGAGCCCAGGCAGTCCAGTTCCACTCATGCCTTCCACAGGTATTTCTTAAGCACCTACTATGTGCCCCAGCTTTAGGCCAGACACCAGGACACAGCAATAAGGGAAAAGGTCAAAAAGACCCAAACTGGGAGTAGTAGCACACATTTGTAATCTCAGCACTCAAGAGGATGAGGCAGGAGGATTGCCATGAGTTCAAGGCCAGCCTGGGCTACATAGTGAGTTTAAGGTCAACCTACACTACACAGGGAGATCCTGTCTCAAAAAAACAAAGCAAAAACAGACAAAAACAAAAAATGGTGCAAAGTTTTGCGGTGGAGCAGGGTGAGGTATGTGCAAAGGCAGCAAGGCCAGGGTGGCAGGGAAAGTTGAGCATAGTGAGGACCACCATGGGGTCAAGGGTCAGCAGGGACAGACTCGTGGGGCCTGTAGTTAAGGTGAGGATTTTGGTTTTCACTCTGAGATGGGAACTACTGGATGGCTCCAGGCAGAACAGAACTGGGATGAGAAGAATTTGTAGGGGACAAGGACAGAGCCAGGAAAGAGGGTGAGGGGACCGACGTCTTGGCCTGGACCACAGTGAACTAGAGCAGTCTCCAACCCATGCCAGGGGCGACTCCAACAGAAATGAGGGCACTGCAGATCCAGCTTAAAGGAGGGGTAAAAGGCCAGAGGTGTGAGTATGGGAATAATCCGGGCCGGGACTTTCTAAAGAGATGGCACCATCTCAAAGTGAGTGTGGAGAGGAGCAGACTGAAGACTGAACCCTCAACAGGATATGGTTAGAGGAGCCCACGCTCTCAACTGCCGCACCCTACCGGGCTGCTCCTCTGAATTTGGTTTCTGCATCAGTAAAATTGAATCAACAACCATCTGTCTTGCTTTGTGGAAATAAAGGAAATAAACTTGTGAGGCACACAGCACAACGCTCACAGACTGAGAACCCAGTCAATGCTGACAACTGGTTTGCCTTTTTCTGTTGTTGTTGTTGTTGTTTGTTTGTTTTGTTTGTAATGTTTGGTGCTGGGGATCAAACCCCGGGCCTTTAAAATGCTGCAAAAATGCTTTACCACTGACTACATTCCCAGCCCTGGACACTGGCTTATTAATACTCTCTGGTTCTGTTCTTTGGGGTGCTGTTGATTACAGACTGCTTTATGTTGCTCTCTCCTGGTTCTGTTCCATCCAGAATTCACCTCCCCATGCCTCTCTGCCAGGCCTAGAGGGGCCTAGAGTGTGGAATCCACCACACTCTTTTCTTAGAGATCTCTTTGTTTTTCACAGCACTGAGGGATTTGAACCCAAACACTATACATACCAGGTAAGTGCTCTACTACCCCGTCATATCCAGAAACCCTTTTCTTTTTTTCTTCTCTCTCTTTTTTTTTTTTTAATTTGGTCTATTTGAGTAAGGGTTTCACTATGCAGTTCAGGCTGGCCTTGAACTTACTTTGTATCCCAGGCTGATTTCAACCTCGCTGCAATCTTACTGCCTCAGCCTCCCCGGTGCTAAGAGTACAGGCCAGTGCCATCACACCTGGCTATTTCTAAATTGCCCAACCTAGCCTGGAACTAGGGATACTTTTGTCTCCACTGCCTGAGTAGCTAGGATTAGAGATGTGGATCACCGTGGACAGCACGAGGACCTCTCTTACACAGCTGGTTAACAGAGCTACACAGCTCCCCTATGCTCTCACAGCATCAGGCCACACGGTCTACTTGCATGACCCAGCACACAGCTGGCTAGGAAACAGACACTCATTCGGGATAGATCTTAGTTTTGGCTTCCCTGGTACTAGCCAAGATTTTTGCTCATGCCCTCGCTGTGCATGCGTGCCCTATGTGACTGCTCTCCTGGGTAGGAAGCTGACCCTAGAAACTCCCTACTCCACAGAACTTGCACCCTGGGGTAAGAACTACAGGCGCAGAAACATGAAAATCTGTCTCACGGAGGACACTGGGGAAACTGGAGACGGAGGCCTAGACAAGCAAAGGAGAAAGGTGGGTGGCTCTTTAATTTCTGGTCCTCATTTATTCCAGGCCACCATATTAGAGCTCTAGGAAAACTGCCAGGAAATTTTGGCATGGAAAATCTGACCTCTGGACCCTGTCTCTGGCTTTGTGAGTCCCAGAGCCATATCTAAACAACCAGTGGCAGACCCTCCCATCTATAGAGGAACATGCACCCAGAAACTCAGATCTCAGCACCTTGTACCGAGCTCAGAGCCCTACTACGACCCTACAACCCATTGAAATGACTGACGGCCTCCTAGGCCAATGCAGAAAGAAGGCCAAGCCAGGGGGCAGGTCAGACGCCTCTGAATTCACCCCTTACTTAAATCCAAACCAATCAGCGTCGAGCTCTGCACGTGAACAGTAGAGTCACTAGCCGCCACTCAATGGGCATGCGCAACCTCTCGCCTAAGGCCTCCTCCCGCCTCGCATGCGCATCTCCCCGCAATGGACAGGGTGGGAAAGAGGGATTAGACACGAACCTTAGTTCCATCCTGAAAGTCAGGGAGTTCTCCCCGGCCCTCCTGTATCACACGCTTATGGATCCCGTCCTCTCGGAGTCTTGCGATGATATCCGCCATCCTCCTTCCCCGCTGCTCTCTTTCGGCAGCTTCCGGACTTCTTCGGTAACTTCCGGACGTACTTCGGCAATGCCGAGGATCTCGACAACTTCCGAGCTGGTGCCATTTTGACTGAGGGCAGAAGCCAAAAAGGGATGGAACGTGAAAGCGGACGGTGATTGGTTCTCAGCGCCGCGGTTTGAGCGTGGGTGGGCCCAATGCAGTGGGAGGCCTGGGAACGTTTCAGGATTGGGACAAGAGCCTGTCGGGAAGGCGGGGCCTGGGCGGGCTCGGTGGGCGTGGCAAGGACGTCACTAGAGTTTGATTGAGTCTTGGGGACTTAGGGCTGTGGCTCTCCCACGTGACCGCGCACCACTTTATTTATTTAAAGTTGTAACAACCCTGGAGTTCGGAAAATGGAAAGAAAAAAAGCTCACCCCGCAATGCCATATTCTAAAGCTACAGTAATTTTGTATGTATTCTTTGGCATCTTTTCTTTTGCATATGTAGTACAATTGTGACTTTCACATTGCTGGATTTTTTCCAAAAAATGCAAGAAGGAAGGCGAAGGGGAGAGGGTAAGGAAGGGAGAGAAATTTGAGATTTTTAAAATTTTTTGTTTAATTTTATTTTATTTGCCATTTTGAAAGAGTCTTCCTATGCAGTTCAGGCTGGCCTTTGTATCCCAGGCTGGTCTCGAACTCGCAACGATCTTTCTGCCTTGGCCCGTCAAGAGCTAGGATTACAAGCCACCACCTTGCCCCGCTGAGATTGATTTAGAGAAAAAAGACAAAAGGAGGGAGTCCGAGTGTAGGTCACTGGTAAAGCTTGGCCCACATGCTAAGAAGCCCTGGGTTCCACCCTCCACCCTCCAAAAGAAGGAGCAGAGCTCAAGAGATCAAGAAACCCTTTGTGGTATTGTTCACCTGACACACCCAATAAATATTTGAGAATAGATGGGTGACAGAAATGAGAGACTGGGCCAGGACTGTAGCTTAGCCGCTAAGCATTGCCTGGCAAGCACAAGGTCATGAGTTCGATCTTCTGTTTAAAAAAAAAAAAAATTCCCACCCAGGACGTGTCAGTTACAGAAATGAGGAAGTGTGATGGCTCAAACGTGGCTTCTTTCTGCCTCTGGAAACTTGCCGTAAGCAACAGCTGTGGGAGTTTTCTGCTCCCAGTGAAAAGACTAAGATGAGCAGCTGGGCCCTCCGCACCATCTTCATCCCTTCCCCGTAACTGGGAAGGATTATCATCTTTCCCATGAGTCCAAGGTGCTAAGTGCTTCGAGAATTCATGCTGGTTTATTTTAAGACAAGAAACCCTGGGGAGAGAGACAGCATTTCTGAGGTGAAGGGGAAATGTGCTTGTTTTTCCTGGAGTTTTTGGGGAGCAGTTTGGTTTTGGTTTTGGTTTTAACAACACAGAAATTTTACAAATTTTGAGCAAAAAAGGAGTTTTATCTAAAAATTATTTCAGAAAATAGAAAAAAAGAGGGAAAGCCAGTCAAGCATGGTGGCATATACCTATAATCCCAACAATTCAAAGGCTGAGTCAGGAAGATTATTGTGAGTTTGAGACCAGCCTGGGTTGCAATGTAAGCTGAAGGCCAGTCTGAACTACATAGAGAGACTCTTTCAAACCCTAACCAACATGAAACTAAGGTGTTTGCTTTGTCTCCCCTCCCTTTTTTTTTTTTTTTTGGTGCTGGGTTGGAACTCACAACGTTGTGTTTGCCAAGTAGACGTTTACACTGCTGAGCTAAACCCCCAGGCCTGTCTTCTGAGACAAGGTCTTGCCATTCAGTTCAGGCTGCTCTTGAGCTCACTTTGTAACCCAGGCTGGTCTCAAACTCGCAACAACCCTCCTGCCTCAGCCTCCCGAAAGCTAGGGTAACAGGTGTGCACTACCACACCCAGCTTTGGTTTGTCTTTTTGAGACAGTTTCACTATACAATTCAGACTGGCTTTGAACTCACTCTGTAGCCCAGGCTGGCCTTGCAATCACCATGATCTTCCTGCCTCAGCCTCTCGTGTCTGTCACCATGCTTGGTTTGTTTTGGAGACAAGGTCTCGCCATATAGTTCAAGCTGGCCTTGCATCACACTGTAGTCCAGGCTGGCCTTAACTAAATTGGTAAAGTGATCCTCTTGCCTCACCCTCTTGGGTGCCCGGGTTACCTGCATGTGCCACCACTCCTGATAAGATTGGTTTAATCTTGATTCCTGAGCCAGATAAGCACAAGGCAAAAGAAGTATGTACCACTTTTACTAACAAATATAGGTATGAAATAGTAAGCTAGGGGTTGAAGGTGTAGTTCAATGGTTACGATTTACCTAGCTGGTGGGAGCTTCTGAGTTGGATCTTCACCAGAAAGAAAGAAAAAGAAAAAACTAAATCCACTAGTTTATATAAAAATGCAGTCTCCACATTGCTATGGATTTTGCATCTTCCAAAACTGAAACTCTACTCGTTAAAAAACTCTCCACTGGGGCTGGGGATTTAGCTCAGCGGCATAAGCGCCTGCCTTGCAAGCAGGCAGTCGTGGGTTCGATCCCTGGTACCGATAAAAAGGAAAAAGACAAAAAAAAAATTGCAGAAAAAACTCTCCTCTGCCCCCCACCATTCTTTGTTTCCATGAAGTGATTATTCAGTTTCTTCCTGTGTCTGATGTTTCTCTGAGCATATTAGTGTATGTGGCAGTTAATCCTAATGTCGACTTCATTGGCGTAAGAAATGCCTTGCAGGTCGGTACAGTGCACGCCAGGTTATGTGTCTACGTGGGTCATGGAGGTGTGACCCTACGTACTATACACAGTCCTCACCTGTTCCCCTCTGCCACTGTTCCCCTGCTCTGCTTTGCAGCCCACAGAAGCTAAGTAGCTTTACCCCACCATACCCTTCTGACATAGGGATTATATAGGACCTCCAAATAAGGAAAGGAAAGGGCCGGGGATTTAGCTCAGTGGAATAAGTGCTTGCCTGGCAAACATGAGGTCTTGAGTTTGATCCCTGGTACCTAATAATAATAATAATAATAAGGGACGGGAAGTATAACTCCCAACCGGCTAGATATCTGGTACTCCAAGTTAGTGTTCTCTAAAACTGAAGAATGAATTCTAGGAATAACAGAGGTTAAGAAGAAAAAATGTTTACTAGAAGAAAGAAAGCTATCTAAGAGAAGGGATCCCAAGTGGCTTGCAGGGATCCTGGTTCTTAATGGGATTTTCAAGCAAAACCAGGAATTGATGTGGTTTCTGGGACAAAACTATGGTCAACCAATAAGCTCACAAGTATAATGGCTACTTCCAAATCTGTTATACAGATTCAGTGCGATCTCAATCAAACTTCCAATAGCATATCTCACAAAATTAGAGAAAACAATCCTAATACCATTTGGAACCAGAAGAGACCTAGAATAGCAAAGGCAATCCTGAGCAACAAAGACAAAACAGGGGCATCACAATCCCTGACTTGAAATTATACTATAAAGCTACTGTGATAAAAACAGTGTGGTACTGGGAAAAAAAACAGACCCCAAGATCAGTGAAACATATTATAAGATGCAGAAACCTCTGCAGACATAACCTTTGACAAAGGTGCCAAACACCTTCACTGAAAGAAAGATATCCTCTTTAATAAATGATGCTGGGAAAACTGGCTCTATATCTGCCAAATATTAAAACTAGACCCATATGTTTCACCATTCTCTAAGCTAAAATCAGAATAGATCAAAGATCTTAATATTAAAACAAAAACGTTAAATCTGCTAGAAGATAGAATAGGTAAAACACTTGAAGTCATTGGTGTAGGCAAAGACTTCATGAACAAAACCCCGATTGCACAGGAACTATCACAAAGTGATAGTGGATCAGTGGATCTCACTGTATTGAAAAGCTTTTGCACAGTAAGAGAAACCACCAACAGGGTGAAAAGACAACTCACAGTGTTGGAAAAAATGTTTGCCAGCTGTACCACAGACAAAGGACTACTATCAGGAATAAAAAGTCCTCCCAGATTTAAAGACTCAATCCAAAAATGGGCATCTGAGGTGAATTCACACTTCTCAGATGAAGAAATACCAACAGCAAATAAATAGGTGCAAAAATGTTCAACATCACTGCTCATTTGAGAGATGCAAGTTAAAACAACACTGAGATTGCACCCCACCCCAGAAAGAATGGCTGTTATCAAGAAATCAAATAATAACAAATGCTGGAGGGGCTGTGGGGAAAAGGGAACCCTTCTCCAGTGTTGGTGGGAATGCAGACAGGTGCAACCACTGTGGAAATCAGTGTGGACAGTCCTCAAAAAACGAGGACTACAGGTCCTGTTCAATCCAGCTATTCCCCTTCTGGGTATTTTCCAAAAAGAATTAAAAACATCATACCACAGTGATATATGTGCACCCATGTTTGTAGCAGCACAATTTGTAATAGCTAGAACTTGGAAACAATCTAAATATCCATCGACTGAGAAATGGATAAAAAAGATATGGTATTTTTATACAATGAAGAACTACTCAGTCATAAAGGAGGATAAACTGAAGACTTTTATAGGTAAATGGATGCAACTTGAGACCATACTCATAAGTTAAATAAGACACACACGTGTAAACATCATATTGTCCTCCTAGTGGGAGATACTGAAGCAACATGTGTATATATATGTATATAAAAAGTTAAGGTAGTTATACTATTGATTTCTCTGAGTCCACTGAAGAGAAAGATTTGAGTTTGTATTGAGATGGACAATTGAATGCAGGTGTCTTGTGCTCTGGGTGAATGATTTGCGGATGACAATGAGCAATGTATATACCATTCCTGATTGATGCATTTCAAAATGTGTTTTCTTCTCTTTGAAATAAAATGGATTTGGAAAAAATACAAGTATAATGGCTTAGGTAAGTGATTAAGTGAGGATGGACTGAGGAAGCAAGTCAGGTAACAAGGGGACAGGAACAGAAAGGGACTTTTCCTGAAAGGGAGGTCTTGGTCCCCACTCAAGGTGACCAATGCCTACCTCCCGGTCTCTTTGCGGACTGACCGGGTGTGGGATGAAGAAGCTGCTTTGAGGGCCGAGGAAGAGCTAGGGTTGAACCCCACTGCGCTCACGCTGCCCTGCCTGAAGATCTGAGTGGTGATTTGGCACCAACTAAGAGCACAATGTATGCGTCCAGCTTGCCCCTCTCTCCGACAGTGATTTATAGCAGATATTTTTCAAGGATGACAAAGTTGTGAAGGTTACTATAATGAAAGACAAAGATAAGAGGAAGAATAGAGGGGTTGCGTTTATATTGTTTTTGGATAAAGACTGGCACAGAGCCGCACCAGCACCATCAACAATGATTTGTCGAGTGATAAAGGCAAGCGTTGCTATGGACAATGGAGAGCAGCTGAATTCAAAGGCGAAACCACTTTGCTAAATCTAAGTGTTAGGAATGTGGGGAAAGTGAGCACTTAAATTACACTTGTCTGAAGAATATTCTCGGAGAACAAGAGCCTCCAAAAAAGGAAGAGAAAAATGAAGAAGAAAAAGAAAACCTCGGACCTGGAAGACATTGAGACGCAGCAGGCAGTGAGGATGCGGGGAGGACCTGAGCTCCACAGCCCCAGCCAAGTCATCCCCGGCCACCAAACCAAGGTGGAAGAACAAAGCAAATGGAAACCCGTGCAGAGGACCCCTCAACCTCCCGGACTGGCCACGCCTAAGGATAAACAAGAGCCAGTACTTCAGTGATGAGGAAAAACTTAGTGATTAGAATCCCATAGAAGAAATGTGGGTAAAATGAAAACCATCACCAGCGCACTCCTGTAATCCCAGCACTTGGGAGGCAGAGGCAGGAGAATCGTTTGCAAGTTCCAGACCAGCCTGGGTTACAAAGTGAGCTCAAGGTCCGCCTGCATTGCATAACTAGACACTGACTCAAAGAGACAAAAACAACAATAACAAAAACGTCTGCAGTATAAAGCATGTGCGTGCAAGGACACTGTTGACCAAACAGTGTTTTTACTTTTTAACTACAAAATATTGCACAGAAGATGAAACAATTTTATTAAATTATTGGTTTTTGAGCCAGGTGTGGTGACAACTCCTGTGATACCAGCACCCTGGGAGGCTGAGGCAGGAGGATTGCAAGTTCTAGTGAAGCCTGGGCAATTTAACAGCTTAGCAGAACCCTCTCAAAATAAACAATTTAAAAAGTTACACCGTCAATGAAGATCAATGTGAAGAATCTGGGTTCAACACAGTTTTTAAAAAATCATATTTCCACATTGCCATGCATAGTAGAGACTTAACATCTCTCATGCAAAACTCCAAAATGCTCTGAAATCTGAAACTTGGTGCACCAACATGAGGACTTGAGTGGAAAATTCCACACCGTGCAACTGTGATACTTGTGCAGATTATGAAAATTACTGTATTCAACTGCCTTCTGGATACGTACATAGATATATATAAAATATAAATGAATTCCATGCTTAGACTGAGGTACCATTCCCAAAATATCCTATATATACATATTCCAAGATATTCTGGGTTCCAGCATTGTTGTTGAGATTGGGTCTTAATGTGTAGTTCATGCTGAACTTGAACTCACTGTGTAGTAACCCTGGCTGTCCATACCCTCAGCCTCCCAAGTTCTGGGGTTACAGGCATGCTGTAACCACAGCTGGCTACCATTTGGTTTTTGTAAAACATCTTGTAAGTACAATTTTTTTCTATTTCACATATTTATTATATCTTTTTGCATTTGTTGTAGTCAGGAATTGCAAGGAGAACAGTTACATACAGGACACATAAGTTATAGTATTTTGTAATGGTCACTCAACAGTTAAATACAAGTAGTACAGGAGATCTGTCCACACACTAAGAGCCAAGGAATCAAGCTGAGGGCCTGGGTCCTACAGCAATGTCCTGCCTGAGTTCGACTGAAGACCTAAAGCCCATGAAAGTGCCTCCTGATAGAACTGTGGGGGGAAGGAGGAGGAGGACCGGCGGCGGCTGAAAAGATAAGAAGTATGAAATATAAATAACTTTTATTTTGGGAAAGCGGGGAGAGACACCCCCCACCCCCTGGGGCGTGGCATCTCCACCCCGGGCCTGCGATCTCTCCTTGGAACATGTGGAGTGAGGCACATAAGTAGCCTCGGCCTGGGGTGGAACCTAAGGGGGCATTAGGGATGCACAGGTAGCCCATTGGTCTTAGTTTGGCGCCAGAGGTAATTCCTAAGAGTGGGGGGAGATAGGAGCTCCTTGGCTTTACCGGCTACAGTATCCAGCCTCAGCCAAAACACTTTCATCTCCCACTAGTCCAGCTGGAGGCCCAGAGCCCACGATGATGACTCATGCAAGTCTATTTCATGGATCGGTGCTGGGAAGGCGCAAAGGTCCGTGATGGTAGCTAGAAAGTCTGTGCCAGCCAGATGAAGGATCTGTGCCAGTAGGTTGAAGGTTGTGCATGGAGACAAGAAGTAACACTCAAAATAAGGACCAGGGCTCCCCACTGAAAAGTACCACCACCATCCTTAGCGAAGAGGTCCTGAGCGCCCCTGATGATGAGAACAGCCCAGTTCGTATCAGGAAGCAGCATGACAAGCTCCTCCATGAGAACCAACAGCTCCAAACAACACTTGGGAGAACTCACAATGCTCCGCTCTCTGTAGATCTCCTTTTTATGCTGGCAGCAGTCCTCAGGTGGGTCTCTGCTCTCAGCACCACACTGGATCTGTTCAGCTGGTGTTTAAAGTGACCATCAGTTTTCAGTCCACAGCAGTATCCACAGCTAAATTTGCCTATCAAGCTGTAGTTGGTTATATAAGAATGGGATTAAGGAGTCTTTATTTTTCTACTTTGTATATTTCGATCACTGAACAATAATATTCCCAGCTCTTATTAAATTTTCCTTTGATGAAAAAAATCTAAAAGAAATGAAAAAACATGAATAATTGAAAAAAAATATATATATATATATCACTGTTGTTCAACCCTAGGGGAAATACGTGGGTGTAGTCATTTCCTCTGCCCCGAGGCCTGGCCACCAACAAATGTGCCTCCAGCCACAGTTGTCTTTTGCACTTGTTCCAAATGCCTACAGTACATTTTTTTTTATTTTGAAGGTAGTAAAATACAGCAGAACAAGACAGAACAAAGCCAGTCGAGACAATGCAATGAGATTGGTAAAGAATTTCACAGCAGGTTACCGGGATAACAGTAATTGGTACCCTAGCGTATCTCATTATCTTTACAATAGTTGTCCATGATAGAGTTATTTCCAAAAGATGAAAAATATTAACAAAAGATGAGAAATATAAAATAAAAAGCGGCCTTTATTCTGAGAACACGGAGAGAGATGACCAGCAACCCCCACCGCTGGCGTCCGGCGATCTCTCTGGCGGACACGCGGCGTGGGGCCCTGTAAATAGCCTCGGTTTGGGGTGGAACCTAAGGCGGGCATTAGGGATACACAGGTAGCCCATTGGTCCTAGGTTTGGCGCCATATGTAAATTCCCAGGGGCGGGAAGATGGCGTCACAGGTAACTTCCTAGGGGCAGGGCAAGATGGGGCTTCCTGCTTCCAGTTGTGGCTTTCCTGGCTACAGTGTCCTGTCTGGGCCAAACCTTTCATATCCCGTCTTATGGTTATTATGAAAAGGGGCGAAGATTTCTCTCTTTAA